TACTCCTTATACACTTCAGAGAGATTTTGAGTTGAACTTGATTTTGATTTCAATGATACAGACTGTAGTTAGATAGTAATTTAATATTACCTTAGAGTCTAGGGAATATTTCTTGTTGCAGTGGTATACAGTTCCCCAAAAGTACTACTACACAGCCTCGTCACCCAACACTGAGTTCAGACCTTCATTGTCTAAGTCAACTGGTTGAGCACCCTCTCTTGTCGTCGACACCTTCCTCTTTCAAACTGATAAGCCCATAACCAACTTTCACTTCATTTCTATGAGTTTGTTCGAATAGGTTCACTGCGTTTTAAGTCGTTGTTTTAGTGTATGACCAGACGTCCAAACGCCTAGGTCACAAATCAATTAACATACCAGTTCAGCTCATGAAACATCCGCCAGACAATAGAGAAACACGGTTTCCGTAAGCTGAAGCTGACTTCCATGAACATGGGACAACCTATCCACATGCCACGTTCCTGTCAGTTATGCGTGCTCTTTCACAGAAATTATACAATTGCTTCACCTCACACCCGTGTAACTAAACTAAAACTTTGTGGTGATTGACAATTTCTATTACTGTATTGTTTGAATACTTACTGTTGTTTGTTAATATATTTATTACATGAATTACAAATTATTCTGCCAAATACAAATTCCTGAATTCATCCACTCTGTGTTGTCAGTTGATTTCCTGTAATTGGGTCATTGAAAAATACTACTATTACAAATAATTATTTCACACCTGTATACATAAATACTAACTGATGTTTCGTTTTCTCTCCTCGAGGGAGAGATTGTGGAGTTAATTATCTGACACAAGAAGTAAAGCGATTTGAAGATCTTAACAATAACGAAAGCGACAAATATACTAGTGGAGTTCAAAACTGTATCCGCTAACTCTAGAATTTGATCTTGTGATGAATGTACGTTCTCTGCTCAGCTGATGTCCTGTTTTCATTATCTGTGTGAGGCTGTTGCTCTGTCTGTTACACATGTACACGTCTGAGGTAAGTAATCCCTACTAAATAGTTAAGGCCATATTTCTGGAGGGAAACGATCTCTCGCATCTCACATATCTCGATGAACTTTTCTGCAGCATCTAGTAAGAGGAGACTTTGGTGGTACACATAGTTTTATGAATTCATGGAGTGATTGGTGAAGAATCTTGAGAAATAGCTGATGATCAGCTTAACGCTAAAGTATCCGTGTTATTTTATTATTTATTTCATCGCTTTGTGTTCCCAGTTGAACATGCGGCTTCAAGATAGAGCTTTGAAATTTCAGTAGCAGTGTTGTTTATTTTTACGAGGTAGGATTGCCAGTCTCATGCCCAACGTTCCATCTTTGCCAGGCTTATTACCAGCTGAGCGAGGTTTGCGAGTGCCTTGTCGGCCGGGGATCGAATACCGAACCACTTGCGTGGTTTGCCATTTTCCTACCAATAAGTCACCGACAATTGCTAAATTATGCTAGGACCGGTAACATACAATTCATTCCCTGCCCCTCTTGTCTCCTATTCACTTGACGAAGCATGTCTACCCTGAAATATATTTCAAGGAATTCGTTGTCATTTGTTCACAGTCTTAATTTAATTGTTTTATGCATCATATAAAAACGACCGTTTCTTTAACTCCTTTTGTATAAAATCAACCTTTTTTGCTTATTTTCCCCTATACAGTCTGCATGTCATCTTTCTGCAGTAACATGTATTCCTACTGCTGAAATTACATCACACCATTTTTTACAATGCATAACCGAAAAGACTAGGTGAGGACAGTTTTCAAGCATTTCGATTACAAGTGACTTACAAGAGTGAGGATTTCTCTCTCTAACAAACTCTAATTCATTCAATATCGAAAGGAGTATCTGTTAGTTAGCACAAACAGAAAGGAATTACACCTCGAATATTTAATCAGAAGAATGAGACGAATGCAAAAATTTTCTTCTTGAAGAATTGCATCGAGAAACATGAGTATCCCAAAATATTTTGGAAGCGTTTCAGACGAAATCACATATCCCCTAACTCACATACATTGAAACGATACACTCTGAATCACATCGATGTAGTTCTATCAAGACTACCTGAACTGGAGCAGAATATCTCAAAAACTCCCAAGTTCTCTATGAGTTATCTTAGGATGAAAGAACATCATTCGAAAACTACTCCATTACGGTTACAAAGAAATGAACAGATGATGTTGTAATGAAACTAAACCAAAGCGTCAAGTCCGTTACTAAAGAAACCGTCTTTCCTACTTGTCCAGAAAAATACATGTTCAATTATTCTGATATTCCACTATCTCCAAATAAAATGCAAATCTTAGCAGTTGGACCTAAGTTTTGTGATGCAACGTCAAAAGTGAATGAATGAACTGAGCACGAAAGTTCAATTCGAGAATTTAGTCAACCAGACGAAAGATCTGGTCCCAGCCTCGTATGACAGTGCAGACCTTTTCTAATCAACCGTTTTAAGTTGTTGTCTCTATTACATCAATAAAAACTTAGATTTCTTAACGAACTTTCCAAAGAACATCGAAAGCGGCTGAAAGAACTAAAGGATAATGAGCTACAAATCTTCTCTATTATATAATGAAAATTTTATCATGACACGGCCAGGTGGAGGATCCAGGATTGTCTTGATGAACAAATCAGACTACCTAAGCTAACTCTGGTTGATACCATCTGATGATAAAAAGTTTTAAAAACAGTCTGCACCGAACAGACGAAGCTCCAGCTAACAAAGATATTGAAGAAAATGAAAGACGAATCCGTTATCAGTTCAAAACTATATTAACAACTGCGTCCATCTGGTTCTACAACGCCACGCATATACGGCTTACCAAAGGTGCACAAAGAAGACGTCCCACTCCACCCAAAATTAGATATGATAGATTCCCCATATCATTCAATCGCAAAAAGGCTGGTGGAGATTCTCGGGCCAGTGAAAGAGAAGCTGTCAAGACACGACTTTGTTGATTCAATTAAGAACGTCAGCGTGGCAGAAAAGAAAATGGTCTCCTTTGATGTCATCTCTCTCTTCACAAACATTCCATAGACAGAAACCGTATGTTTCCTTCGTGACTACATTCGATCCAGAAGCACCGATTTCGGTATACCCATCCATTACCTGAAAGAACTGTTACTACGATGCACCTTCAACGTAAACTTTAGTTTCAACAGCGAAATATACAGGCAAGTAGATGGAGTAGCAGCGGGTTCTCCCCTAGGACCTATCCTGGCCGACTGCTTTATGGCTAGCCTAGAAAACAACTCCTTCTCATCACCTATCGACGACCTCTATTTCTACAAGAGATACATTGATGATACTTTCATCATTTGTGATGAAAATCTGTACTTTGAAAACTTACTTCAAACTTCAACAATGCCTACCAAACACATCCACTTTACTCTTGAAGCCGAACCCGACGGAATGTTCCCCTTCCTCGACGTCCATGTGACAAGAAACTCCAACAACTCCCTTAAAAGGTCCATATACAAAAAGCCTACATAGAATGGACAATTCATCAACTTTCAAAGCTACGTGCCCCTAAGCATAAAGAGGAACCTGATATACGCTCTTTCCTCGAGAATTCGGAAGATATGCAGCGAGGAAGTGATTGACGAAGTACTGCGTATTCTCTGAGCAACCCTGATGGAAAAGAGTTTTCCGCCTAGGTTTATAGACAAGAATCCAAAATCAAAGAAGACTTCCAAACAAGTTTAATCCATCCTGAAGAAGATACTTCTTCTCAACCTAGAATTCAAAGATGACATTGAAAAAGAGATCCTTCGTAAACGCCTCTCCAAATCTCTGAGGAAGACATACTTCGCCGCGAGCCTACGACTGACGTTTTCCTGCAAGAAACTGTTCAGCCAGAACGCGAAAGACAAGCTGTCGTATTGGGCCACTTCAACGTTCATTTTCCAGTTTACTTGTTCGTGCGGAGCTGAGTACATCGGCCCTAACATGCACCGACTGGAAAAACGTGCTCGTGAACACTGTCCAGCCTGGTTAGTAAAAGGAGAACGCGAACGTGTATATAGTTCAGTGACAAAACATCTGGTTAATTCAGGACATTCAGCGCCATTCGAAAAATCCTTCAAAATAATATACAAGATCCGATCAAACCTATCAAATGGAGTAAAATTAAGACATCTCGGCATAGCCGAGGCACTAGCTATCCAAAATCCCAAACCCATGCTATGTATCCAAAAGAAATACGTCCAATTCTTGTAACTTCTATGAATATAATAAACAGGTAATTCTTTTAATAGTGACTATCCTACTGACTTTCTTATCCAAACTTCCCGTTTATCCATGTTATTTTTAAGTTTTTCTTAATCCCTATTTACACTGACACATTTTCTAATCCGAACTTCCTGTCTATTTTGTCATTTCATTATTTCTACATATTTAGCCCTTGATTGCATCAACAATCATCCGTCACATTAGTTATAATCCCACTAGATTTTTTATCCAAACATCCTGTCTATTTTTGTTATTTCTAACTCCTAATTGCACAATATGTCAATCTTCTCAGAAGTCATGAGGCTACTTTGTCTGAGCCTTATTCAACCACCTGTTTATAATGGCATTTTAATTCCTAATTGTAATTCTATTAATCTGACCCTTGACCATAAGTTATTCTGGAACTTTCCCACCCATTTATTATAAATACACGAATGTACAGCTGTCTAGTTGATGACTGCGTCAAAAAGAAAATTTTCTTCGCTGCAACAGTCTTTTTAATTATTCCTGTGATCCAGTGTGTATATTCCAAGAAACACTTTATTTAAAGCTTTTGAATTGTTGCAGCGTTTACGGAAAAATATCACTAGTGAAATACGTAAATATACAGATTCATGAAATTGAAATGAAAAATCAATCAAAAGTGTTCGTGGGCATCAAGGATTGAGGTAGAATTAAATTCTCGTTGTATAGTTCAAGTAGGAAGTCGAAAGGATTTTCTCCACATTGAGTAACATTTCTAAAACAGTTATGATGTATGAGGAACGTTTTCTTTCAACCATTGTACAATTGTGTGGAGGTGGGTGTCAAGCCATTTCAAATTTCGTTTCGAGGTAGTTAGCAAATTGTACAATTCACGTTTGAGTGGATGATTCTGTGGTAACTGAAGCCAATCAGCCTCTGTACTCAGTATCTGTTAAGGAAATGAGATGTGTTATGTTTATATTTACAGTTATGAAAAACATATTTCAAGGAAGAATATCTGAAAATCTCTACAGTAATGAAATGAAGGCGCATGTATTCAGGTTTCACTTGTAAGTATGTCGTGATTATGTACAATTATCCTCCACTAATACCAAGCACATCCACAAAATAACTATAAGATATCTGATAAAACGCCAGGCACTAGCTAATTTCCTCTGTCCTGTTCTTCGTCTCGTGCAAACTGAATTCTATCAGTTAAGTTTGCAATGTGGTCACCATGCTAGTTGGCTTGCTATCACGGTGCAGTTTGAACCGTTAGGGTATTAAACTACACTCACCCACTTCTTCAATAAAAGACATTACTACTATTGAGACTTTAATGGATGCTATGTTTGGACACTAGGCAGCAAATAGTGTCATGTGTCTCATTCTTCGTTTCGCGCCATAGAATTCAATCATTTGACAAGCACGAAACCTGGCTCCAAGGCTTCCTGCTGAATGCCTGCAACTACCTCACAAAAACGACAAGATCTCTGGACTCATTTGATGAGGATGAAGTGTAATTTGTCTATTCAGGACGGTTGACCTTCTGCTATTACCAAAATTTCTAAATGTAAGATACTTCCCATCTTCCGTGTGACTGTACATCAACCAATCTTTTGCACCAGGCATTATTACACTATAGGTGCCATTCAGAGGACCTTATTAAAATGCTCTCTTTCCACAAACACTAAAGGCGATCAACTACATTCGTAAATGTTATCTTTGACGAGATTTTTGATGGCAGAATGGGTTTTATTAATTCATGAGGAATCAAACATATTGCCTCAAATTGACAACAGCTACTATCTACGTAATTAAGTAGCTTACAATCATTTGCGTAAATAAATGGAAATTAATTTGAGAATATTTTGTTCAGGCACTGTGGTACATAAGTATGATCCCATATCAGTTATGTTTATCTGAAATAACATACAAGGATACATTAATAATAAGTGGATCCCTTTTCCAACACAACTCATTGTAGTCACTCATATGCATAATCATTACAAAGAGGTGAATTGAAGTTACCTTGTCATTTTGTCGCTAGAACAAACATTTGCATTAAATCACTTCTCACTTCATTTTATTTGTACACTCCAGTGTGAGTTGAGCAGATTTATGGAAATTCGTTTACAATTAAACTTAGATTTCCAATAGTAGAATATTTCATCGTAATTGCATCTGACAGGTGTGAAACAGTTTTCAAACAACTTAATATTAGTGTGACTTTTTAAAATAAACGAGTTTCAGGGAGTACTTTGTAGTTGCCATTTTCAACTCTAAGTGTTAAAAACAAACTCCACTTGGTGTCACCAAAACAGCATAATTGTATCCCACAGTGAAAAGTTCAAAATCTAGCAACAGTTCATGTTGAACAGCTCGTATATCAGTGGACCTAAATTATTTGGACCACTAAGAAGTAGCGTCACTTACTGTGATGTCAATTAATTTGTGTTTCTCTGTGTTATGGTATTTATCTAGCTGGTTAAAAGATGAATCATCTCTGCACAGATCTGCAGTTTATCAGTTTCAGAACCACTGAAACACCAATAGGGACAGCTGTTCCTTTCAAGTTTGAGACTCTTTAGGGATGCTCCCCCACATCTGTACGCACTTACTTGGGTTCGAACACAGGACCTTCAGGTTATAGAGTGACTTCATAACCCATGTAGCCACTGGGTCCCGACACGACGACCAGCCCATGAATTCTAACTTCTGCCAATTCGTGGTGCATATATATATATTGTAATCGTCAGTCAATGTTATATGCAAGTACTGTACCGTACTCTTACTTGACTTCGTGGATTTCACTGGTCACGAGTACCCCGTTATGAACACAAATTTGTACGTATCAACACACTCATACTAAATTTTATTTTCTAACACATGTACGCTGTATTTTACAATCAGTATGTTGAAGAACAGTGAAAATTATCGTGTTGAAATCTGACTAACCTTTTCCCCATCATTTTTGTTATTCAAGCTGTAATATGGATTAGAAAGACTCTGTATCACTTCTTTGGTGAATTGATCACTGAAAAAGAAAAATGTGTGAAATTTAGAGCGATAAAGTTAATTTATGCTAACACAGTGGAAGCGATTTAACTGTCTTATATGTTCCACATTAATTGTTAGCGGTATTATTATTTTCTCTTTTGGTTCCCAGAGAAAAATAGGGCTTCAGCCTCACGTTCCCATTGCGTTCGGTCCTCTGCCAACGTTTTCACCTGGCTCCACGTCTGCCCATATTATTTCATCTCCTCTTCACATCACCTCCTCCACTCCATGTCACCCTCACACTGACGACCAACTATCCGCTTCCCATTCGGATTCCACTCGAACGATGACCTGGCGTATGAGGTCACTTGATGGTTTTCTCAGATTATGGCCAATCCACCTCCATTTCTTCCTGCATATTTGCTGAACAGTTGGTCCCTGGTTGGTTCATTCATTGCTAGAGATCTCTTCCTGTTGCCGGTCATTTCTGACCATCTGATCTTGAGTGGTATTGAGGGAAGAGGGCTGTTGATGAAAATCTGTAGTTTGCTTGAAGTGCTCTTCGTGATGCGCCAAGTCTCTGATCCGTATAGTAAGTAGCACTAACCACATATTGAAGTTGAAAATATGGATCTTATTTTTCATGCTGAGTGCTGTTGATCTCCACATAGGCTTCCCTTGTCTCCCCGATCCTCGTTTTGATATCCTCATCAGTTCCACCTGTAGTTGAAATGGTGCTTCACAGATAGGTAAAGGAGGTTGCTTCTTTCAGATTATTCTCATTTATGCTGATTGTTGCCTGTTATTGTTGCTGTTACTGTCGGTCGAGAAACTTCGTCACCTCTGTCTTCTCTTTGTTCACTTGAAGTTCTATCTTTGATGCTTCTTCTTCCAACTTGTTGCTTTTCATTTGCATATCTTCTATTTTATATGAAATCAGGCATATATTGTCGGTGAAATCCACATCCTCCAGGTATTTTGTGTGGGTCCATTTTATACTCGTTTTCTCGTTGATGGCTGTCGTTTGCATTATCCAGTCTACTGCAATCAGGAGAATCATTGGAGGCAGCTAGCTTGTCTTACCCCCATCTTCACTTAGAAGGATTCTGTGGGTTTACCAATTATTACCAGTAACAATATAAACAGATTTCAAATATGGCTATTAACCTCAGCTACAGATTTCATTTAAACAACTTTTCCGTGTTCATGATGTTTGGGATTCTGAATTTACGCACGGTGTTACATCCGTAGAACAAACAATGACAGTGATTATTCCTTCTTGTGGATAATCAGCATAAACATGAATCCACATGACAAACACGAAAATCACCTTTCCCGGGAAGAAGAGGAAATCCATCAGCCCATCCAAAATCTAGACTGGCACATATCCAGACATAGTACAGTCATCAGTGTATGATTATCAGAGTAATTTACAGCATAGCGACGTTGTTCAAGGAAGAATCTCACACAACAAACACACTTGAAATGTTTTAAAGTTAAATGAATTTCTGAGAATCAAAATGAACAATTGGTATGAATTCTTAATGCGATGGAAATGAATCATGAGAGAACTCACATTTCAGCCGGTGAATGTGTTGAATTTTCCATGCTGTAAAAGAAAGAAATAAACGGATCATTTGTTAGAACTAATTCGATTTAATCAGCTTCCATACAGGTTTTCATCAATAGGTCAAATATTTTACATTTAATTAAACTAGAGGTCACTTATTGAAACATTTCCGCACTATAAGCAGCTACAATTGAATATATCACGTTTAGTAATTATTAGTTAATTAGTTCCAGTCATCTGTAACTGAGGTTTTCCTTAAACGCCAGTCATTACTCAGATATACCTTCACCATTTGCTTAGAGAGATTCTGTGAAAGTATGTAGAAAAGAGTCGGCTACATTCCCCTTTAATATGCTTTCAGTGTGTATGTCCAAAATGTGTATATCTAGCCATTTTTGTTGGAGTGTTTTAACTCAGTTATAAACTCGTCAGAGTATTCCTTATTTCGAAATGCATTTGTATGAAACTAAAACTCTGATGTCAAGAATACTTTTGTATGAAAACTCATAAAATCGTAAAGTTTTATTAACCCGATGATAGATAGTTCAAATGTAATATTTTCTGAGTTGTAAAATCGAAGTTTCTGGCTTCACTGACATACATGGGAATATTATTCTTAACGATGTACTGAACGACGCAGAAACTGAAAATGTGAGATATAAATGGCAATACTTAGATGGTAAAAATATGGTCTGCTTTAGCTTGATGCCAAGAGTGCTATTGCCAACCAGTGCTTTAAGACTTAGAATTTTCCCATGCAATGAGTAAAGCAGTTTCTGATTTTATGTTACTGACTCTGGTCTTTGTAATTTTCCATCTTATATTTTGTAATTTTCATTCATAAATGAATTGGTTACAAGTTGGGGACGACGGACACTAAGTGTTGCATAGTACGCCACGCATCATTATCAAACAGAGCATAGAAGAATGGCAGTCAAATCTCTATATTCAGTTTCATCGGACTTGAAAAAGTCTTCGAAAGAGTTAACCACGAAGTTAGTCTGAAACTACTTCTGCACTACAGACTACATCGAACCTGCTTCAGTTTCATTCAACATTTTTATGATGATGCCACCTGTCAAGTGATTCACAACGGAAAACTCACCTAAGCTTGTGAAGCTAAAACATGAGTAAGACAAGGCTGCCCATTACTATCACCGATGATATTCCGAATTGTTGCGGACTGGATTTTTCGCTAGACTGTGCTTGGGAGTGAGAAGCCAGGAATACATTGGATCGATAAGAAGACTCTAGAAGATCTGGATTTCATGGATGATTTTTCTCATTTATGTCTTGAAGATCTACTGACGGAAACCAACAACTTGACGGTAGGGTCTAGCAGCAAAGACAGGATTTCAAGTGAACATAGAGAAAACGGAGGTGATGAACGTTACGAACCAGCCTACAACAACAGCAATTAAAAATCACCATTGACAGAAGGAATTTGAAGCAGATCACCTCATAATTGATCTAGACATCATCTCCCCAGCTATAGGTGACAAGTTTAAGAACATCAGATTCTACTTCGGAAAGGTAAGGCAGGAATTCATCAACTTACAATCCAAATGGAAATCTACAGCAGTCATCACAAAGAACAAGACTAGGACTATTAACACTAATAATAATACCAGATCAGTTTCTCTCCTATATGGTTCAGAGACTTAGCGTGATACCAAAAACTTTTCAAACAGTCTGCTGCAGATCTTAATCGACAATTGACCTCGATCGGTACTGAAGATCAGATGGCTGGAGAGTACAAGCCATGAGTAACATTCTGTATTATACACTGAGAAATGTGCTTTGTGTGAGTGATACCAGACATGTGCATTACACATTTCAAAAGAACCATTTCAAAATCAATTGAATGAGTTTTACTCAGTTCTAATTTAGACAAAGCAATAAGAAGATGTAATTTGTTTGAATCGTGTAATGTGTATTTATGCAACACATTTCCAACAATCTGATCACACACACTGACTTGTCATAGGAATATATTTGTATGAAATTAATAAAGAGTTACGAGGTGAGAAAATAGGCCTAGGTCAAGTTATAAGGACATATTGAAGGCCAAAATAACAATGAAGATCACTAAACCAAATTACAGAGGTAAAAGTGTATCTATTCTGGCTGCTATCAAAACAAAGTTTACCAAAGAAATTGGTTTAGTGAGATGACGAATTGTTGCTTTGAACGCACGAAGGTGAGTTAAACTTTGTAATTGCTAGAGCTTCCACAAACTTAAGGGATACGCCCAAAACACGTTTTATAGATAGGTTTAAAAGATGTGTTGTGTCCTTTCTCTATATGTTTCGTGATAGAGGAGCTAGATATCCTGTTCTCACTATTAATGGGTTCTATTGATTCTATTTGCTTCTGGAACCATTTACGAATACTCTCTGAAGCACTTACTTCCAGAGATCGATGAGTCCTCCCTATGTATATGTGTCCACACGTACATTCAAACTGGTAAATTCAGTGGGATGTGACATCATTTTTCGCATGTTCTGGATGGATATATTGGCTTCACATTCTCAATTATTATAATATTAGCTGCATAAAAAGTCCTTTTAACTACAACAACGTTCAATCTTTGTCTAGTTGTCAAGCTGCTTTGATACTCCATATAGAGTAGCTTGATGTACACGTATCTCTCTTAGTGAGGATATGGAGAATGGATGTTGGTCTTCTGACCACTTTATATCTCCTAATGTACTTGTCTCGATAATTGTTATCAACCAAGGAATGTGTCAACTTTCTTCCTTCTTCATCAAGTGTTGAATAGGTCAGGTACCTTATCAACTATTTTGTTTCACATAAACATTTCTAATTCTCATATCGTTTTGATAAGTCACTGCTGTTTGATTCCAGCTAAAAGGGTGTATGTGTGTGTTGAAACTGACCTCAGTGAAGCCGTTGTTTAAAGAGCATTTGGGAAAGTGCGAGAAATGAAAACATACTAAATTAATTTTTATGAGGTAGCCAACTGGGACTGAAGACTACAGAGTGGAATGGAGATGTAATGCTGATGCCTCATGTTCCACCCAGAACCAAAGGGAACAATAATGAAGATATAAACTTTCGACACTTGGTTTTGCTGTTGGATAAATTAGTGCAAGTCATCATTGGAAATGCCACACTGTCAGTGGCGACCACCTAAAGTTACACGTTACACTATTCGCTTCAAATTCCTCTAAGTCTAGATTTGGTCGACTAGAATGCTTGCTTTCTTTTGGTACAGGAGTCCGTCTTACAAACTCACCAGACGTTATATGAGTTGCTTCCTGATGATATTGTTTCAACTCCACTAATGTCATCTTCGAGTTGAGTCATGTAGTCACCCTCAACAATGGTCAGGCAAAATGTCAAAAAATATGAACAAAAGTGTAAGACTCAACAGGGAAAATGCAAATGTCGTAAGTGAATGACAGATCGTCTGTTCTACTAAATGTCATGCATAAATATCAAAGTAAATCCAAAATGCATCTTAAGCATGACTCACTCGGTTTTCAAAGATTTGACCAGTTCATGAACATAGTCCCACAACATTTTATTACCGACTGGAGATACTGCGAATTCAGGAATCGCTGACCAGTATTGTCTGTCCTGTTTAATCCATTCAAAGTATCTGGGATGTGAACAAACGGAGGAGACAGTGACGTCATCATCGGAATGTGACACTTAATTTAAAGGAATTCATTTTGCTCTTTTAATACCTATAGACCTGATACTTGAATATCACTTTTGTGTTGCGCTGTCAACTGAAACGACGAGTTTCATAGTTGTCGTCACATTTAAGGAAAACAGGAATGTGAGGAAAGAGGCGAAAAGTGTTAGGAGGGAGAAATAGAACTATGAGAGATTCTATTGTGTCTAGCAGTAGTTTGGTTATTCCGTGTCTCCATATAGATTCCTTCTTACTAACCCCAGTTCATTTGGCGTTTCGCATCCTCTATTGAAAACATTTCGCCTGAAGCCAAGTTATTCCCTCTGAAATTAGATTCTCTGTGACTTTAAACCTTAAATCTTTGGTTATTTTTATTATCAAAACCCTGAGCCCCTGACATTCTTGACAACTCACTCGGTGGTCATCATCATGATCACCATAAATTATTAGATTATTTGATTAGGTCAGGTACCCTATCAACTATTTCGTTTCACATAGTCAGTTCATTACAAAATGATACTTAACTGATAAAAATTTTGACAGTGAATTGAACATAATCAATCTCAACTTGCTTATTCGACTAAATTGAAAGGCATAAAATGAAATTATGACAGGTGACAGATGGTCTAGTCTTTCTTCGTTTTAAATGAACAAACATCGGATGAATTAACTGTTAATATTATATCGACTTACAGTTTCATCGTCCATATATCACGGGAACAAGATAATCCTGTCAAGATATTTTCCTTTTCAACATCTCCTGTCTCATTTACATTGTATTGACTTCTGAGGAATTTCCACTCTGCTTGACCACCAAATCTGATAGCTGTACAGTAGACTGCTGATTTCAAACCAGGCGGTATGCTATGGAATGTGTATTCAGAGTTAACAGGGGATAGAATCAGCAATAAAATCAGACTAAAGAAGACAAATTTTAATTCGGTTTGATTAACTATCCCACCTGATGATAAGAACTGGATGTTAATTATGGTTTCACCTTTGCATAGTAATAATTGTTTGAAAAATCTCTCCTGAGTGATCAATCTACGACATTCCTACTTATTTAGACATTCCAACCAACTGTGTTATTATTGTCCTTTTTTCCTCTAGACTGACCATCATTGTTCTGACGTTCTCATATTGTCTGATGACACAGTCCTCATTATTTGTCTTTCTTCCTGTTCAATCTCTAATTTTTATGCTTCTCTTTTTGGTTGTATTATGACATCTGTAATGTGTTATTTTTCGACTGCGATTTTGTTCGAGCGAGTCAAGGTGATTCTGAACTTGAAGTGTCTTCAGGAATTGTTTGGTGTGTGTGATTCGTGCTAAAAGAATTTCAATCCCACCTTGTTAGGAATATTCTTCTTGATTTCCAGGTACTTTATACAATTGATTTTGACTAAATAATTCTGTTGTATAGTACTTCTCTAGTATCTGAGAACTGATTTCATCTCTATTACTGTCTAACGCGACTGTTTAGGTAATTTTGCGTTTTGACAGGTTATGAATGTATTTAATTGTACCGTAGATTTTATCATAAATAACTGTCTTTTTCACTACCGTCCAGACATTTTTGTGACTGAGTAACACAACCAACTTATGGCGGTTTGTTTAAATCACTGGGCTACCGAAACTGCTTTCTACCAAAATGCTTAATTTCATCTGGATTTGCCGTTGTTTCAATCGTCCAGATATGTATCAAATAACCTATACATGAACTTGAGCGCTGACTGAACTTGCTTCCAAGTAAACGCTGTGCAATTCTTCAAGGAAATGAAAATATACTTCAGATTATTACTTGGCATGTAAATCCCCTTTCGAGGAAAATGCATTTTGGAACTAAATACACCGAAAACTTTGGAATATATGTTCGTAAACTGTGGGGAATAAAGCTTTATTCTTATTACTATTATTATTATAAAGGTACGGTTAACTATACAGTAGAACACAAAGCATAGATTTCCTGCTTTCAAACCACAATACGCCAGCTTCTGGTCATTACTGCCTTTTCTCCAGTGTTTCTTCGAAGTTTGCGTTGAAACTTGCCTGTAAACAGATTACTAAGTATTTTGAAGTAGTTTGCAACAATGTCTACGCCATTTAACATTAGATTTGCTTGACAGAGAGCTTACTGCATACTTGAATCTCGATTCCGCTTAGAGAATTTAACAATGACTACGCTAATGGATTATGAAGAGAAAATTTAGCACACTTCAGAGAGTTATATCTATGAAGAATGCATATTTTGAGGATGTAGTCGGATCAAATATATTGGACATTAAAAATTGAAGGCCAAGTATTGGTTTCTAGGGATTTGACTGACTGGTTACAGGATTTCATCATGAGCTGTCGTGAATTGGCCATTGCATCGGATCCCAGTGGCTTAGTGGTCTACGAGCTAGCTCACCTTGTAACCGGAAGGACCTGGATTTGAATCCCCGTACGTGCATATTGATGAAGAGTCCGAAACAAGGCTAACGAAACAGCTGTCTGTCCAGTACTCCCACCTGGTTTTCTAATGGTTCTCTAACCGATGTCAGCTCATGATGAAGTCCTGTAACCAATTAAAGGGCAAATCAGCACATTTGTTATGAACAGATCATCCATCAGCCACTTCATCATCAATCAAGTTCGCCCAGATATTTCAATAATATGTGAGCGACAAGTTGTGAGGTTTGTCAATGAAAGGAGTTCGTATGAAATTCTCTTGAAATACATTTTAACTTCATACTCCAATGATGTTTATTCTGCTGTGGTACACTGATTGCTCAAAATATGTTTACGAGTGATACATACACGTACATAACGAGAAATGGATTCAATAACGCCATAATGTCCATCAGTCATGAAAATTCTTCACTGGGATTCGTTCATCCATCTATTTAGTTATCAAATTCATATCGAATTAATGAGTTTCTTTACCGTTTGACTTATCTCAAGAGATCTCAAAATGAGCAAGTGTTCAGATTCGTTGGTTGATCAATAAAACGTGCCTCAGAATGGGAGGCATAAATGGGAGATGGACATCTGCATCGTTGAAATATTTTGACATTTATTTAGACTAAATGATCCTCCCTAATGAAATTATGTCAGCTATCCATCTTTATATTGGAAAGTGTCAATATATTCCCCACAAATCAGGGTAAGTAATGGAATGCTCTCCAAGACTAAATACATGGAACAATCTAGACAGCCTGTCTTAACCAAGACATCTCGAAAATGTTTGTTACTGTTCTTCAGATCACTTCCACATCGATTCAACCAAAATTTCTAGGCGACCACCTCATTATTCATCAAAATAAAAATTCAGGTTTCTTGAATAACTTACGGATTTATCTCAGGCGCCGACATCCATATTGTGAATAATACTCGAGCATTGTGTAGACATAATTCATGCTCAACATGACAAGCAATTTGGCTCAAGGTTCCACGTAACAAACTGAAGATCAAGAACAACAAAACGAGTCAGGAAATAAAATGCGAATCAACCTTTTTGAAGAGTTTGAAGTCATTGATAACTGAATATAAAGCACATAGTTGACAGACAATAAGCGACTACAAGTTTATTCCAGTGTCAATATATGCTAAAACATGATGCATCTCTGAAATATTCATGAGTAATTGAAAATTATCAACTGTCAAACATTCTATTCCTAATCACTTTTATCTATTCCCCGCTGTTATAGCTCCACTTCTGATGACAGCGAACTTGGTTAGACCTTTACTTTAACTCTTTTCACTCCCATCAATTATGTTATGTGGCCCTCTGACTGATTTATGATTGTGTATTGAGCAATTTTCTTTAGAATCTCGATGTTTATCTAGAAAACTCAAAATCTTAGTGATACGTCTTTGAAAGGTTTTCTTTTGTTGCTCTGACAGTGTTTTAGGTATATTCCATTTTACAACTAGAGAATGATATCACTGCAGAGGGCAATTCATCTCTAAAGGCCTCTTCTTTATATTCAAATTTATCGGTGAACTACCAGGAAGCAAAAACTCAGAAATTAATAAATGAAACACAAAACTGTGTGAGTGAGTGAGTATAGTTATTAGTTAATATATGTGTAAAACTTGGTCACTGTGGTAGTAAGTAATTCCATATTAGTTTGTTTATTAGATATATCACAAACAGTGAAACAGTATTATTTACTGGATGACGAGGTTTCGAACAAAATTAATTGTTCATAATCATCTCATCAAGTATAATCACACGACTTCGAAACTTGAGTTTTAAAGTTTTCTTTATCATCTCCTATTTGTCGTAGGGGTAGTAGAATTTTCCAGATGTCAGGCTGGACAAGTGTTGAATCATTCCTATTACACGTATTTGCAGTTGATTTGATAAACAAAGCTTCTGTTATCAATCTTTCCCTCCACCCAGCTGTGACATTAGATTTTAAAACTGTCATCTTATCCCATTCATCCTATTATATGGTGGTGTGTAATTGCATGTAGTGAGTGCTATAGCTGAACTATTCTCTAAATTTCTTATCTTATTTGGATCAACCAATCTAGATTTTGCTAGGTTTTTGTACTCTGCTGTTCTGACCGACCTCTTTCTACCACTTTGACCTATGTATTAGACCTGACAGTCATTTCAAGCAGGGTATTAGATAAACTAAATTGTTTTGTTTTAAAGGCTCCACAGGATTGTTCCTTTAACCAACAAAGCTTGCTTCTAATTGAGTTTGTGGTTGGTTTGAATGCCAGCCACGTTTATTCCTGCCTTGTTAAAAATTCTCCGTAAGATGGTTTCCAAGGTCCCTTCTCTGTATGGAATTACTATTGAATTTCTGATTACTGAATTACTACTACTAGGAGAGAGCGAAGGAAACTAAAAACTCAACTCTCGAAGTTGTGTGATTATTACTGATGAAATGATGATGAACAATAATAAATTTTGTTCAAAATCTCGTCATCCAGTAAATAATACTGTTTCACTGTGTGATACACCTAATAAACAAACTAACATAGTTCAAATGAATTGTCGTCAAGATTTGACAGAATAGTTCTAAAATAGTTGGGTGCCGAGTGAGAAGTAGACATTTATAAAAAATTATATTTGTAAAATCTCAGAGAGATTGAAATGAGTAATTCCAACGTTTCGTTCGGCAATCTGGTCCGAACTTCTTCATGGAAATTAATCGAAATTAAAATAACAGAGGTTTATGTATATAAAAATGACATCTCTTGTTTTTAAGAACTTTGTCCAATCATATGAGTCATGTAACAGGCATCAACATGTATAATAAACAAAATTGTATGAGCTGTGATCAAATTTTGACCCCGGACTTACAAATATTGATCCACCTTTGTTAAACACTTTAAACAGAGTGTGTATGTGTGTGTGGCTAAACAGTTGTAAAACATTTCTTAACGTCTCCATAAGAAGATATGGACAGTCGAGAATTTTGACCAAGTATTAATAATTAGCGATACATATCCATTTTTTATTTATTAATAAGAATTTCCTATGCATCAGCTAACATCACACCTTCATGTCTGTTCAAACTGTTAGTATCTAGAATTTTATGGTTAGACGTATTTTCAAAACTATGGTGTTTAGGATTAGCGTTTAGTAGAAGCACCTGTCGGATTTATTGCTTTGCCTTCTTTCTGAAGATTGAGCTGCTTTATTCGACCTACTAGAGTTGTCAGGTGACTCGACAGTTACGGATTTAGGATATGCATTCTGTTGCAGACAACGGAGAGTGAAAACACGCTGATTGTGCCAGTTACACAGTTTCTTTGTTAATTTAATTCGATTGCAAAATAATTCAAATGAACTGTGGTCAAGATTTGACAGAATAGTTCTTATATATTTGGGAGCCGAGTGAGAAGTAGACATTTGTAAAAAATTATATTTGTTTATTATACTTGTTGAATGACTCATAATTGGACAAAGTTTTTGAAAACAAGTGATGTTCCTTTTATATATAAACCTCTGCTATGTTAATTTCGATTAATTTCCCTGAAGAAGTTCGGACCAGACTGCCGAACGAAATGTTGGAATTACTCATTTCAATCTCTCTGAGATTTTACAAATATAATTTTTTACAAACTAATATAGTTATTAGTATTAGTTATTATTATTAGTTATTATTATTATTAGCAACATCTTCAGCGCATACTTCGATGTATGCGCTGAAGATGTTGCTCAATAGAGCAATGAAAGCTTCGCAACCAAACCATCCAGCTCAGAGAACACAACCACACCAAAATGAGGTTGCCTTCCCTAAGCAAGGTGACATAATTGTGAAGCTTGAAATGAACGTGTTGCCTTGAAAAACAACGAAAGCTTCCTAATTAAATCACCCCGACCAGGGAATGCAACCACATCCAAATGGATGGAAGTATTCGAAAATTAGAGGTGTTTCAAGATTTCTTGGTTTTCATCAGTTTTGAAATTCAAGTGATTATGCCATTGTATTTTACATTGCAATTATGCATAAGTAGCGTGACCAGTGAAGTAATAAGAAAGCGACACAACTCACTGTTTCTCTTCATTGCGATCTTCTCTCACAGTTACCCAATCAATCTCCTGCACGGCTGCATTTACAAGGTGACGGACATATGCTTGGTAACCTCCGTAATTCTCATCCAAAAGAAGCATACGGTCAAGATGGAGAAGAACTCTTCCGGCAGTTGTCCAAGCCACATATTGCCTCTCTTGGCTTAAATATTTCGTCAAGTTCAGGAAAGTAGTGAATGATACGTTACCATAGCTGAAAGAAAGCGGAAAATATGAGAGATCTTCACTTGTACTCTGATGGGACACTGGATAGTAGTAACTAGTTGTCATATGTCTAGTCCATTGTTCGATGCAGACTGAATGTGTTTTCTATTTGTTATCAAACTGTCACTGATCAACACAAACTATTTCAGCCTTAAACTGATGGACTCCTGTCATTCTGAATGGCGGCACTCAGTATGTACTTCTTATAAACTCCAGTGGAGATCTCATAGAAACAAAAATATCTGCAACTGTATATTTCCTCTTGAATATGAACAACAACTCCAAAATCCAGTTCACCTTAATGATCCTACAGGCAGTTGCTGGTTTCCGGGGTAATATGGCGCGTGTAAACATTCTGAATTTCGAAAATGCTTTGTTTTCCTTGAAACACTGAACAACAGATAACTATTTTAATCTATCACTTTTTACTAATGACAGTGAGAAGTTCAAAGTACGTACGACTTTACTTCTGCTTTCGACACTGTACCTAGATATCTCTTGCTAAATAAGCTCTCTATGACAAAAACTGAGTCCTGGGTCACTAACTGGTTGCATTCCTACCTCTCAAACAGAATGCAGTACACCGTATACAAAGGTAAATCCTCCTCTGCTGTGCTCACTGAAGCTGGTGTCCCTCAAGGTGCTGTACTCTCCCCACTTCTCTTTTATTTCTTTCTACATGACTTACCATCTTCAAATGACATTAATTTTGTCAAATATGCTGACGACCTGACAGTATCTTTACCTGTCAAATGTCAAAGTGACTGGTCTAAACTTAATGGCTTTCTATCAGAAGTCAGGCAGGGATCCAAGGAAAACGGTCTTACCTTGAACTCCTCCAAATGCCAAACAGTCAATTTCACCTTTAGGCATAAATCTGACCTAAACAAACTGGTTAGCACTCACGAGATGTGTAACATAGATGACACTGAAATAGAAACCAAGTCGGAAATTAAATACCTAGGCGTCATTCTATCTGCTGATCTTTCCTGATCGTCTCATACCTTGACGATTTCTAAGAAAATATTACGTCTTATGTTCTACATCAAGAAGTTAAGACATTCTGGTATAACCCAACTCTTACTTCTACAATTCGTTAACTCTCGCATTCTGCCTATTATTCTCTATTGTTCCCCCTTAGTTTTTCCCGGGCTACTGAAGAAAGACTATACCTTTTTACACAGGATGTTAAAGGTTGTCAGCAGGGTAAGCAACGTGCCACTTAACCAGCTTGTTAATATTCTGGTCGAAAGGCACATAGACAGATGTGAAAAATGGGCTAAATCCATTTTATCTGACTCACACCACTCTCTTCATTCACAACTCTCCTCTTGTATCTCATCAGGCAAAACCAGAAGCCAATATAGAAAACTATATGCTCACACCAGCAAGTACAAAAACTCAACCATACCCTACTTGGCTCGTGTTCTGCGCGATAAAGAAAGCATTAGGCGTGGTACCTATCACTTATTAAATAGTCAGTAGAACAATTGGATCTCGTCTTTCCAACTCATATCATTTATAGGTACAACATTTTCTTTCTTTCTTTTCCTTTTCTCTCTCTCTTTTTTTCTTCCGTTATGTGCTGCTTTGTCTCTTTCTCTCGCTTACGCCAGTAAATATGACAGCACCTACTTTTCTAACACCTTCAAACACTCTGTTCAATTTTGGCCTTGCTACCGACATTCCAGTATTTTGTTGTCATGATGAACTGAGATTTCCTTAATCTATGTAGAATTTTACTTATTGATAATGTACTAACTGTATGCAATACTGTAGTAAAAATGCTGAGAATTCCATTCTGTATCACAAGTACTGTTTTGGAATAAAGCAAATTAGTATTATTATTAAAAATAAGCTGGGTGTAATGTTGGGGGAAAACATTTACACTGGCTTTGAACAAGAATGTAGTATCTCACACACTGTCTGAGACATCATGCTAGCGATGCGAGAAATATCAGCACATTTAATGTAACTATGAACGAATTTCCACACACTGTACACTAAGATACGCTTTGCAGTTCCTATTGAAACAACACAGTTGGAGCAGGAACCTCTTCGCTACGAATTCACCTCTAAATGAATTTCACTAAGGCTACAATTTCTTCCATCGAGCATGAAGCATATAGATGTAAATTTTGTAGAAATCATCTACTGTGTAAACTCATTACTATGTTATTATTAATGCTTTACCGTTACATCATTAGACCTGAAAATTTCGGTAAATAAATGCAAGACGAACTGCCTTTGATTTATTGTAAATGCATCTGTCAACAGTTCAGATTATTTAAAATACTAAGAAGGCACTGTTCTTGAACTCTATGAAATCATGAAACAAATCGGGACTAATGAGGAAGACATCTGATGTTTCCTATGAACCAGTATAACAATATGTTGTCCACTTATGAGAACAACTTGCCTGCCTGATAGTAGGATAGTGCAGAGAACGAATTCGAGGTGTATAGTTAGTCTAACTACCGCCCATCAATCAGTCATTCCTTCGCCATATTTTTTATGACTTTCGTTCAGTTAGTGATCACTTACTTCGAGAGATGGAATAAATCACCGATGATTTGTGGGCGTGCAGAATCTGGAATGCTCTGAAAAAAGAAAATATACCACATGAATTAACAGAAATTTTGAATGATCTTCGAATATCATATCTGTGAAGATGCAAATTATTTCAAAGTTGATGTTTTTGTCTCACGAGGCAACACACATCATCTAGAGGATCACTGAAAACCAGTTAACTACGAAAGGGGTTCCTCCATACTTGAATGGAATTCTACAGGAATTCTCATCCATTGCCTGATCACGGATAGAACACACAACAAAGACGTAATCAACTCAGATTGTTTCTATATTTTGAAATCAGATGAACATCTTTCGGCGAACAAAGTGTTTTTGTAAACATACGGCTTATGCAATGTGAACTACCATCTTCCAGGTATTTCTGATGAACAGATTTCGGTATTCTGTTTAAGCTTAACTGTTTCATTTTGCAGCTGTACAGATTTACTCCATTGCGGAATTGTCCATCACACTGTGTAGTTATTCTTTTCAAGAAACATTCTAAGAGGCAAATCAATTGGTCAACATTTTTAACATTTTATATTCTCGTACGTTATACCTCCTAATCATGAACACTTATTAAATCATGCGGGAATCTTTTCTTTAATGTCAACTTCCACCCTTTTTTATTTTGAACTAATTTATGAGTTGTGGTTGAATTAGAGACTCTGGAAGAGGACTGATTTCTGTGGGGAAGAAATCTTTGAATTATTGACAGTGCTGAAAGGATCAATGAAATTAAATGAATATTGTGATCATGAAGGAAAGTGGTTGTGTCGGCGTCAATCGACAGACATCTATATATTCGTCCTTCAATTAAAACGTCTGCATTTCTTCACAAGGTAGTAATAAAATTACAAGATATCGTGTATATCCAACATGTTACCTTGTACATATCTCAGTTGAACACCCACCTTTTCTCCATATAACCCGTTTCCTGTCCTTATTCCTCAATGTCGACATGACAAAAATTTACTCAGGTTATGTAATTCACACAGATCACACTTATAGAATGTTGTCAGCCATTTGTCTTCACTTTAATGTAGGTCACTAAACAGATTCGTATCTAATCAGAATGTATAAGTGATTATAAATGAACGGCTCAATCAAAGACGATTGTAACTTGAGCCTTTTCTGTTATAGTCACTGTAATTACGAAATAAAACTTTTAAACCTACTTACCTTGAAATTCTTGAGTAATTCTTCTGTCAGTAATTTCCAGTTATTGTCAACGTAATGAACTCTATAATATCCAATCTGTCCAATATTTATTATGTACCAGTCATTTGGCATAACGTTGAGCTTCATCTTCAGAGTAGCTTTGAGATAAGGAAAATCAATATGACATTATGTACTCCCGATACAACTTACAGTACACATACAATGACTTAGTGAAAAATATTCGCACCTGTCGAGTAATATTTCTGTCTAATAGGTAGTGTACTCTATACCACTCAGTTTAGAACATATCGAAATTGAGATGCATTCAAAAATGTAATGTTGAAGATCGGGATCGAATGAGTCACAAGAGTGTTCAAACTGTTATTGTGGCTTACAAATATTCAAATTCGGATTTAGATCACTTTTATCACATGGACAAAGTCTTCGTCGTTCTGAGGATAGTTAATTTCAATTCTGTTTCATTAGGTATTAGGTTCCATATTATTGAACAACTGATGAGTTAAAACCACCACATAGAGTAATTCATCTATAGGAATATGAATCTAAAGGCAAGGAGATCCGAAGTACCAACAGTTTCGAAAAAGGCCTTGCTTTTTCATCCTCACTATCTCACTGTTAACATCAGTGAAATAATAATCCAACGCTTAGAGAATGAGGTGAAAAGAGCATTCAATGCCACTGAAGTACATTGTCTCCTCAAAACCACCCATTACTTTATATCCGAAAGTTAAAGGTAAACTGGCTAATTTCGCCTCTTCTATGTGTATCTATCATTTTGACTGCTCCTGTGGAGCCACTGTCAAAGGGCGCAAAGTTAGGCCTGTTTATCGTCGGATTTCCGAATACCATTCAGCGTGGTTAGGCAAGGACAAACAAGGTTCATTCATACCTTTATTATATCTCATCTCGTGGATACAGATCAGAAATTGATGCTACAAATTGATGTTTACAAAGTTATCTAAACTTAATCGTGCCTCGAGAATTCGTCTGTTACATTTTGCTGAAGCTGAAGGAATCTACATTAAGCATCACTTGAGTGTCTGAAAGATGTTGGTACAGACTCTTTCCCTACCTTGGGCACCTATGTTTTAACCATCTTTAATTTATTGTAGGCCATTTAATTAGTTTTATGTGATATGCTGTTTAGTATTACATTTTCAATGCTTATTATAAATTACGCATCTCCCTTGAACTGTAATTCCATTGATCTTAACAAATCGATATTAATTAAAAACGCATCATTATTGTCAATAACGATTCTTCTAAAGTATCATATATATATATATATATATATGTAATTATAGAGACATATGTTCCTTCATGGTTGCGGACACGCCTTGCTGAATAGTGAGTGCCAACTAGGACGAAACCTAGGTCAGGCAAGGCTTCGTGTGGTCGACTGCCTCAAACCATCTAATATCGGCAATTCAAAGCGCTTTGTGATGGCAAGCCACCTCGAATGGTGGCCACATTGCAAAATTAGCTGATAGAATTCAGTCCGCACCAAACAGAGTACTGGACACATTACACTACCTACTAACTAGTGTCCAATAAAGTGGGAATTTCTCCGCTTCAACCTTCCTCTGTTCTCCGAATTTCTGAGTGGGAATTCTAGCTCTAATAAAATTATGTGAATTAATTACCTAAGCGGTGCGTCGGTGGAGCAGTGGTAGAATGTTCGCCGACCACTCCTGATGTGGTCCAGGGTTCGATACCCGGCCACAGATGCACTCCTTTACCTCGCTAAGCCAATAATAAGACTGCTCAAGAGATAAGGTTGGGCATGAGGCTAGCAACTCCATCCTGTAGAAATAAACACCACTGCTACCGAAACGTAAGGGAATAAGAAATTACCCAAGCCGCATATTTTCAAATTTATGGGTCACGAATGAAGGTATTGAAGTCAGGATCAGGAAAACATGACAGGTATTCACTACTCTGAAATAAGCTTGAAGATTCACACACAGACACTCACGAACACTTAGCACAAAAACAATATCTGGATTTTTAACTCTGATATCAAGTCAGTGCTCCTCTGTGGTCTTGTGATTGCCGTGTCACCACAGGTTTCTCCAACACGTCACTGTAAACCTTCATCAACACATGCCTTCACTCTCCAATGAAGATCAGATAGCTGACCAGAAAGGCTAAGCAACAGCGATTTCTTTGGGAGAGGCGGACCAACCAAGAACCTACTATCGAACAACTATTCAGAGGGAAATGCAGGTGGATTGAACGTACACTGAAGAAGGATTCATTGATGTCACATACCAGGCCGTGGAGTGGGATTCAAATACAAAGTGACGAATAGGTGGGAAGGTATATAGATAGGCGATGGATTGTTTTATTGAACTTGTGACCATTACACGTATTCAAATAGCATACAGTACTACTTACCGTTGTTCATCCATATGATTTCATTCGCTGACCCATCCTTTGTCGTGTAGGTAATAGGGATTTTCCAAGTGAAACTAAATAATTAAATTTCAAATAAATGAAATTAAATAATATTTTTGTTGTTCTACCAGATGTGGAAGCAAAACCAATTGTGTAATACGCCATACATTCTCTTTTATTGTGTGAAGACTGGCGATTCATTTGAAATTCAACTATGTAGCACTTCAGATGTTTATAAATGAGTCATTTCAAATGGATAATTTCATTACCGTTTACAAAGGAGTGACCGAATATAAAGACGGATAAGTGGATTCTAATCACAACAAAATTTAAGTGCATCTTTCAAATATGAAGCAAAGAAGCCTAGCGTTTTAAGAATGCTTGCGAAGGTTGAAGCCAGAGGAAACTCTGGTGGAGGACCGTAGCGATTCTGAAGTTCAATCGATTGTATAACGTGAGTATAGTGGCGAAAGACTAATCGAACCATCTAGTAGCTGGCTCCCTCCGAAGTTTCACTCAGGATAGCTGTCATTCTGAGATATAAACAGTTTTATCCGGTAAAGCGAATGATTAGAGGCATTGAAGAGAAAACATCCCCAACCTATTCTCAAACTTTAAATAGGTGAGAAGCTTAGCTCACTTAAATGGAGTTTTGCACTGAATATGACTGCCAGGTGGGCCAATTTTGGTAAGCAGAACTGGTGCTGTGGGATGAACCAAACATGCGGTTAAGGTGCCTAACGCAACACTCACGAGATACCACAAAAGAAGTTGGTTGATTCAGACAGCAGGACGTGGCCGTGGAAGTCGGAAACTGCTAAGGAGTGTATAACAACTCACCTGCCGAATCAACCAGCCATGAAAATGGATGGCACTCGAGCGTTGGACCTATACTGTACCGTTGCTGCAAGCTGAGCCTAAGCAGGGTGAGGGCAAACTGACTTGGTCCAGGCATGGAGTGGCGGCGACGAGTAGCATGGTCGCTGTGGCTATCGAGAAGCCTCAGGCGTAAGCCTGGGTGAAGCAACCACAGGCGCAGATCTTGGTGGTAGTAGCAGCAAATATTCACGTGAGAACCTTGAAGGATGAGGCGGAGAAGTGCTCCATGGGAACAGCAGTTGGCCATGGGTCAGTCGGTCATAAGTGATCCGGTAAATTGGAACAGAGACAGGGTGCCTGACACTGTCCGCTTGCGGGCTTTGTTAGTATTGCTGCTACATTGTACTGTTGCAACGCAGCCCCATGTAGCGAAAGGAAATTTGGTTAATATTCCCGACCCTGTGCGCGGAGATCGATGCAAGAATCAATTGGAATTCGTGAATCACTGAATTGGGTCCCAGTGGCTTAATGGTCTACAAGCTCACCTTGTAAACAGAAGGTCCTGGGTTCGAACCCTGACTGGTGCGCACTGCTGATGGTTGAATGTTGATAGATAGAACGAATTACTTATCTTGTGATAGATAACAGAGAGTCATATATCTTGTAAGAATGGGTAGCTGATAAAGAACTAAAAAGTTGATGAACATAATTTTATATGAAGACGACCATCTGTGAGTTATTGGCTTCATAGTACACCAATAAATACGTAGTAGTTCAGTTCATCTAATAAGAAGAGTAATTTTGACTTATTTCTGTTAGTACACACGATTCAGTCAGGTAAATGAGATGCAATTGTATACATTCAGATAAATTACTGGAAAGATTATGTCCAATGTGATATGATGTTCACTGTCCATCAGATTACCACATCTAATTACTGCTTCTTCCAGCAAGTCTGATCCATTTTGACGGGCATGTAAGAATTGTGGTTTACATCTTCACACTGCAATTTTGATGCAGAATATTTCAAGCGTCATTTTTCTTCAAATGAATTGTTCAAATGACCGGTAAATTAATATTTAATAATTTGGCTTTAGGAGAAGTCTGAATGGCAAATCTTTTTGTCCAAACTGACAGTATCTGTCATGTTCGTCTTCTTTCTCCATTCAACACATCTGAGTGTGCTTATCGTAAGGAGCTGTTCTTCTGTTACACAGTTATGCAACATGGACATAACATACATCTACTAGTGTAAATGTTTAACTGTAAAGTAGTAGGAGTATTTGTCACTCTTCTAAATAATCTCCCATCAAAGTGTAAAGGTTATTCGCTATTGCAAGCTGTTTCTGGAAGGTGACGGGACTTTCTGTATCTTAGTAAAATTTAGGACTTCCCACTTACTGCGAATTAACCAAACTTCGTTTTCACATGTCATTTAAGGGAGATTTATGAACACTGACAGCTTTGAAGTCATTTAAACTAGTGGATGAAGGAATATTCAAAAAGTACATGGACAGGACAATATACACATTTTCACAGCTTCGTTCCTCTCAAGTACAAAAGAAATTTAATAAAGACCCTCAGCCACAGAATTAGAACTATATGCTCAGAAGAGGTAACTGAAGATGAACTAAGAATTGTATATGATACCTTGATTGAAAATAGCTATCCAGACAAACTCATTGGCAAAGACATAACCAAGAATCAGAAAAGGACTATTCTCCATCTGTAAATAAGAAGCCTGGATATAAACAACTGGAAGTCAAGGGCGATCAATCTACCGAAATAATTACGAAGAAGTTAAGAAAATCAGTTCAAAGATTATTCGACGCTGGCAAATTACAAGTTTCATCTTCTACACGACCGGTGGTGATTCCTCGATTGAAGGATGAGGTACCTACACTAGCCGCTTCAAATTGTATCTACCAATTCAACTGCTCTTATGGTGGAGTGAGCTGTATTGGCCGTTACTCTAGGAACTTGATTTTTCGTGCTCGAGAACATCTCCCACTATGGCTAAGTAAAGGTGTAGTAAAAGCCATCAACAGTTCGATATTAGACCACCTGGTTCAAACCGGCCTCAAAGCCAGCATTCTTCTCTGTCAGCTACCGGGTGTCGGATAAATTGCCGAAAACATCGAAGTACCGCATGCTGCAAACAGTGGAGGCTATCACCATTCGCGTGAAACAACCTGTGCTTTGTGCTCAGAAGAAACAAGTGCAGTCACTACTACTCCCCTGGCCGGCCTTCAGTAAAGACTATTAGTTCATGAATTTGTATTCCTATTATTTTTCTTAATTTAACTGACATTCAGTGTATTGTTGTGTTGATGCTATCGAACTGTAATCCATTGATATTATTATTAATTGATTCGATATTATTTAAACAACATTAATGTTGTTAATAGCACTAATTCATTCATTCACTATAATGTATATATAACTGTAGAACCTGATGAAAAGGAGGTTTTCGAAAGGAATATTCTTGGTTCAGTCCCAATCTTTTGAAAATTTTAATGGGCATTTTTATTTAAGCTGGAATATTTTGTTCTTAAAGAGCAAATTACTTAAGAATTTCAAATTTTACATCCCTTTACTATCTCACGAATCCTGAAAAGAGACTTCCGATATCCACCCTATTACTGACCAGAAATTGAGATAAAATGTTACATAAATTCCAACAAGACACCATCATCTATTTGAAGAGATAGAAGAAATTGATGAAAAATACTCCACTCACTTGTATGAGGATGGCAAAAGAGAATCATTCACAGGTTCATAGAAGTGAATCTGTTTGAAATGGAAGGTGTTTGAATCACTTCGGTTAACAATCAAAATTGGATAATTCATTTGTTTTGTCCAAGTGTCCATGATCGATTTGATGTCGATGACTTTGTTTGCACTCTTGGCCGCCTAAAATTTCAAAACTAGATCCCATTAGATTTGAACTCCTAAAGTAAGTATATTCATAAGCTCCTGAAGCAGCATAATATCTAAGAAAATTTTTACTTTCAGCGTCTCCACTGGAATTTCAACTTGTTTATTTTATGAGTGAGTTCCAAACAGTTCCTAGGGTAGCTTGTCTGCTCCCGATATTAAAGTAGTATAACACCGATAAATATAAATTATCTCTGAATAATTGATATGCCAACCTACACTTCAAATCTTGTTTTAATTGAAACAGGAGAAAAAATGCGAATAACTTTAAATTCAGTGAAATGAAACACCGTTTGGAAGTGGTGTGAATCACTACAGTAACATCTCACACATTCCTGGCATATTAATTCAAATATTCATGGATTACAAGGCATGATTATGTTACCATAATCTAGTTTTACTCTGAGTATGAAAGCGAATATGATATTGAAACGTAATCCTCTAATTTCCATTTTGGTGACTTGCGACCGACTACCTTTTTGAAGAGACTTTCTGGTTTTTAATTCACTAGCATAAAATACACCACGAACCATTAATTTCTCAATTACATATATGTTCCACATCAGTTTTAATGGTGACTGACAGAGAAATTCATAGAATGCATTTGGTTTTATCTGGGACACTTCAGCCGAATCTAGGCAGTGAGGTTACACAGAAATGATGGGCTACAAATAGAATGAAATGCTCATCCTCGACTCCACTGGTAGGCTGCACTAATTTAGGCATGATCGACTAAATCTCATGCGTCTATATTATCAGATTTATTGATAAATAGTTCATCCTTGATCTAGATCATGAAAAAGATCTCTCCATAATGAAGTAAAAGTTCGTTCCAGACATTCTTTTCAGTAGATTCTTATGTATGTGGATATAGTAATCTTACGTGAACTCCTTTGAATTGTATCGCAGTATTTTTGTCACCTTGTGTATAGGAAAGGTGGCTATACCATTTTGTTCTGACTACTGCAAAGCTTAACTATGTCCACAAAAGCTGGAAGAATCTGGTACTATCATGACGATCAATTATAACGAACAAATCCACTAAATTATGAAAACAGTAACCCCTATCATACTTAGTAACTTTCCATAAGTTTCTCTGTATGAGTTACTTTCGCCTATATACCTCGTCGTTTTATGAAAAACTTCGACCTAAACAAGCTGGATTCAGGAGGAATAAGTCATGCATCGATCAAATCGCAACACTACGATTATCATTGAAAAGAGCTTGGAATGACAGTCAGCTCTCTATCTCAACTCCATCGAATTTGAAAAGGCCTTCAGCAGACAGTGTCAATCGAGAGGTGATTTGGAAACTACTTCGCTACTGTGGAGTGCCGCCAACAATTATACACCTCATCCAACAGTTGTACGACAATGCTGCATGCCAAGTAATCCACAACAGGAAACTTACGGAACCTTTCGAAGTGAGGACAGGAGTAAGACAAGGCTGCCTACTATCACCAATGATTATCCTGATTGCAGTAGACTGGATAATGCTACAAACAGTGGGCAATGAGGAAACAGGCATAAAACGGACCCTCACAAAACACTTGAAGGATCTTGACTTCGCCGATGATATATGTCTGATGTCCCACAAACTGTAAGATTTGAAAGTGATAAGCAACAAGTTGACAGAAGAAGCATCAAAGATAGGAGGGGCTTCATGTAAAAATAGAGAAAACGGAGGTGACGAAGATTCCTGGCCAACAGTAACAGCAGCAACAACAACAGACAACAGTCAGCCAGCATAAATGGGAGAAATCTGAAAGAAGCAACTTTCTTTACCTACCTACCTACCTGAAAAGCATCACTTCAACTACAGGCGGACGGGAATAATGAGGAAATCAAAGCAAGAATCTGGAAAGCAAGGCAAGCTTTTATTTCTCTCAAATCTGTGTGGAGATCAACAACACTCAGCATGAAAAATAATATCCGGATTTTGAACTCCAATGTGAATTGAATGCTACTATACAGATCAGAGACTTGGCGCCGTGCCGCGTCACGAAAGCCACTTCGAACAAACTACACACCTTCATCAACAGCTGTCTTCGCTCAATACTAATCAAGATCAGATGGCCGTCCAGAAAACATTGGCAACAGGGAGGGATATCTGGCAATGAGCTAACCAATCCAGCCGGAACCATTGTTCAACAAATAAGCAGGAAGAACTGAAAGTGGATTGGCCACACTCTGAGAAAATCAACCATCAAGTGACATCACACGCCAGGTCATCGCTCTGGTTGAACCCGAATGGGAAGCGGCAAGTTGGTCATCGATGACAGGGTGACATGGAGTGGAGGAGGTCGTGCGAAGAGGAGATGAAAGCATGTGGGCAGACGTAGAGCCAGGAGAAAACGTTGACAGAGAACGGAACAGAATGGAGATGTGCGGCTGAAGCCCCACTTTCCTCTAGGAACTAAAGGAAACAATAATTGTGATTATTATAACTGAAGAAAATCACCATGACCTGTTAACAACCTGAAGGTCTACTGTATCCTCACGAATACAAAACACCTACAGGTTCTCTTCTGTCAAAACTGAAGGAAGACGATAGGGAAAATGATAAAAATACATTTCTCATCAAAATATCAGAAAATTTACTGTAAGTTGTTATTTATTTGAAAGCAGAGACTTACACGATCCAACGCCTTCCATAGATCTTCTTCGTCCGTATTTTTATATTTGTTTTCTTGTAAGTAGATCTTGTGGAAATACAGAAAAGTGACATTGTGAACACTAAGCAACCTGAAGTTTTAACATGTGAATGCGGTTTCCATAATGCTTCCTTTAACAACTGAGTTCCACTTAGGCTCATATGAAGTAGATGCCATCAATAGGTATCTGTGAAAAGATGCTACTCACAACCAGTCACTACTAACTATTTAATATTATCATATACTCATTCAACAGTTCTCATACTTCTAGAGTTCCATACACGCCGCTTTCATACATCTCTCCCTGAAAAACCACATTCTTTTCAGCTCAACTCAATTTAAATAAATCACCTGTTATGCAATGTTTATCAGTTAAATATTTATGAATGACCGCCGTCAGAGAATTAATTAAAACAAAACAAGTGGTTGATTTAAATCTGTAGGTCTGCCTAATAGTTTTTACTTCAATGAATCAACCCCTGTAAGTCGGGAATAAAATTTAGGTTACCTGAAGGTGAATAAGTGAAGGGAACTGTCCACTTTGTAAAGCGCATTAGCAGATATCTGATACTTTTGAAAAATGAGACGCTTAGCTGGTTTTTTTACAAACTACCGACGATGACAGAAAAATAATACGTAGAGTGATGATTTTATATGCAAATGCAGAAAAACGAGTAGGACCACGGAAATGGATAAAGCTGACGAAGTTGTCGAGTTATGCTTTCATCCATTACTAGATTAGTAAAAGATACACTTTGGCCAAATATAAAGCACCTCAACTACGTCCAATTTTTCAAACATATAAGAAATAAATGCTTTTGTGGAGGGAATATCGAAGCGCAACTCACCTTCAAGCCATTTAAGAAGACATCATGTCCAAGAAATGACTCCATCATCCGGATTATCGAAGCACCCTGTAAATTGTTAAAGCAATAAGACTGTAATTCATGAAATATTGTGCGCACAAACAGTATGTCTAAAGCCTTACTCGCTTACTTTAACACCACAGAATTCACCAGTTCAACAAACCCTTACACCATTATATAAACTGATTTTATTGCTATGAAAAGAAATATTAAGTAATCAGATATCGAGTATTCAAACAGGTCGATTTCATTTTTTATTTATATCGCAGCATCTGTAGTGCAAAGACACCTGAGAAGGCATTTGTGATACGCCACTGTGATGAAATAAACAATCCCACAAGCCTATAGTCAGTCTACGTTCCGTTAGTGAAACTTAAGTCTTACGGAAATACCCCATATTCACATTTTGTAAGCAATTTAAATCCAATACTCTCCCTATTCAAACAGCAAAACAAACGAATCTTGTTAAGTTGATCAATTTTCCGGTGTTTTCTCCCACCTATCACTCTTCTGGTTACCAGATATCAACTTAACAAACTCTTGTATTCCTGTCGTCAACCTCACCATAAGACAGAACGAAATCGTATAGATTGCTGCCATCAGCATGCATAAAATGCCACACACACACTGCATTGAAACACTTCCAGGCGAATGACTTCCTTTGCATACATCTTAGATAAAGTGTTATTCAGCTTCCATCAGTTCACCTACCCTTCATGCTTTCGCCTCATATATCAGGTGTATTCTCGTGGAAACTGTACTGCCTGAATATCAGTGCAGTCCATTTTTGAAGCTTCTTCGTACTACACTACTTATAATTGAATAGTTCAAATTCTTCCCTTTGTTGAGAAGTCGATTTTACAGCCACTCTGATATTTGTTCGATTGAGTCTGTGACTCGAAAATGGTGATTTCTTATCGAATGAAAATTCCCACCGAAATACACTCAGTCTTAAGTATGTTAACTAGATCCAACACAACTAATCCGGATTAACCGTTTAAGTTCAGAGTGAGATTGAAAATTCTTAAAATTCCAACTCCATATTGAAACTTTGAATGTTTGTCACTTTACATGCAAGTGGTCATTGTTTCTTTGACTTCACTGGTTGTATAGCTGAGCATGTAAACAACAACGGCGTTGTTAATATTGTTACCAATTTTTGTTCTGATAGCAATAACTGATAGTACAGAGGATTGCTGACCATTTACAACCATGTGATGATAGCTGTTTCTCCGATTACATGTTATCCTCAGAATAACCGACTTTCAACTGGTCACAAAACATCACATACAAACATTTACAACTCACTCAGACTGTACAATTACGCCTTACCTCCATCTTTTTTATAAAAAAGGCGCTCTTAAATAAATACCGACCATAAGTACTGTCAAACTAACCTTACTGTATGTTATTGGATCAAAAATGTCCTCGATCTCGGCTGGATATACAGCTAAATTAATAACAGGATGAGATTCACTGGAGGCATCTGAGATCATTGCTCTTTGCAAATCGGAAAAAATGAATCGTTCATCCTGTTTAACATAAAAGAAATTGTATTAATTACAGTTTGGTGGAAATACCGAATGACAGTTTCAATCTAATTGACAAGACAAACAGCTAAATTTAATTTTGGGCTTATTTTCATTTTTCTCTGAGTAACTGTGTTGCAGAGGAACTATTCGGTCCCTTCTCACTTGTTGACCCCTGTTATAGACGCTTCGACGATGTCCAAGGATTGATGTGATGTGATTTCGGTTGTGGAATCCAGGATGCAGATTTCACCCTTTTTGAGACTCTTCAACTGGGTGTACACCATCGATCAATTCAAATGCAAATCCATCCATCTGACGAGGTCCAAACAGCATAAAATGGCCAGCCTGGATTCCGTCGCCAGTCAGTATCAAACAAAATCAAATAGCGCTAGACATATTTTAAACTCTCGTAAGAATACGTCAACTTTTGCATGGAAGATGTTAATCGATACAAACTATCCACACATATCATCGCTCATCGATTATTCTATCAAAAATTACCTCATATCACCGTCAAGTGGGTCTTTCAGTATTCACAGATACTTACAAAAATAACAAATTACAAAATAATTAGGATAAAGCAGTGACCTACCAATTTCCAATCTGGTTGAACAAAGTCTGTGCCAGTGTATTCAAGAAAACTTGCAAAACCTTCATTTAACCAGAGGTTGTTCCACCACTTCATCGTCACTAAGTTACCAAACCACTAAAATTTAAACAGAAAGTGTAAAATGCTGTTGTTTAATACTCACTCACCCGAAAATAAATCTTTTTTTATTTTTCACTACCTAATGTGAAAGATAGTCATAGTCACCTTCCTGCAGTGTATATATGTGGTGAGAGCTGTCTGCAAGCCACAAAATTGTAGACAACAATTGACGTCAATGTTCACCTCCCAAATCGGGGTCATGAGAAGAAACAAGAACAAAGACTAACCTTGAGGAACTCAACACCCAATCACAACAGACTTAGCGTGGGCGGGTACGATTCACAGATATTTCAACGGACTGTCTAAGAAATGGCAACACAAACGGAGATGACAGAATAACCTTCAGCAGGAAAACAACCAATCAGAAGACGATGCTCCTCTGCTAACAATAACGCTAATAATAATGTACATAAAAATCTATAAATATCTGTTGATTTTCTCAATAAACGATCTGTTGCTTTACCCCTGTCTTCTGTAGTTCCATATACACTACTTATTAAATTAAACAGACAGTTCCAGTGAGGAAAACTTTCTTTTCGATAAAGTTATCAACTAGGCTGTACATTCGTGTATTTAAAGTAACTGGGTAAGACAGTTCCAGAACTATTTCCGACGAAGGGGCGAATCAATAAAATTTCAGATGGCAGTGAGTTTCCACACTCCGATCTTGGCTTAGGTTCATTCACTATACTACTGATTAATATATAAGTAGTTTCAAAACACCAAGAATAAACACTGGTGATTCGTCACCGAAACAGAACTGAGAAATTTGTTTAGATCAATTCATCCATCTCTGCTAACGAGCATTGGGTGACTAATGAGAATGACTACTTATTACTTCAGTCGGTCAGTAGTATATATGGTGTAGCATTTCATCGATTTATGCTTGTGAAAAAACATTACTAGAGTAGACCACAGTTATGCATACACAGCAGAATACAATTTAAACAAATTTTGAAATTGTCATTACTTGATGAGCCAATTCATGGGCAATAACAATTGTCACCCATTCCTTCGATGCAGCTGAATCAGTATACGGATTCCATAACAGTGCACTTTCTCGAAATGTTATTAGACCCCAGTTTTCCATTGCGCCAGATTTAAAGTTAGGAATTGCAATCATATCTAAAGACAAATACAAACGAAAAACAATTTTGAGTAACCTTATCAGTCCACAATCTTTATTTCATTATTATGAAGCTAATTTTAGGGAAAGACGCCGCCTAATTATTTTTGTAGCTATCCTGATCACAGGTAGTGGTGCAAATTTCCTAGAAGAATTTAAGCATCGAGTTTGATTGATTTATTATACGACTCGTTTGAAATAATCCTAGGATATTAGGAAAATCAAAAAATGATCTTTCCAAAGCTTTTCTATATTGGTGGCATATTACTATATGTGTAAAACTTGGCCAATGTGGTAGTAAGTAATTCCATATTAGTTTGTTTATTAGATGTATCACACAGTGAAACAGTATTATTTAGTGAATGTCGAGGTTTCAAACAAAATTTATTGTTCATAATCATGTAGTCAATTACAATCACACGACTTCGAAACTTGAGTTTTATAGTTTTCTTCGTCCTCTCCTATTTGTCGTCGAAAGGGTAGTAGAATTTTCCACATTCCTAGCTGGACAGGTGTTGAATCATTCCTATTACACGTATTTCCAGTTGATTCGATAAACAAAGCTTCCGTTATCAATTTCTTCCTCCACCCAGCTGTGACATTCGATTTTAAAACTATCATTCTAAACCATCCTATTGTATAGTTGTGTGTAATTGCATGTAGTGAGTGCTATAGCTGAACTATTCTCCAGATTTCTTATCTTATTCGGGTCAACTAATCTAGATTTTGCTAGGTTTTATGTTCGGCTAGTCTGACTGCCCCTGTTCTACTACTTTGACCTATGTATTTGACCTGACAATCATTGCAGGCAGGGTATTAGATAAACTAAATTGTTTTGTTTTATTGGCTCCACTGGCAGGATCCTTTAACCGACAAAGCTTGTTTCTAATTGAGTTTGTGGGTTTGAATGCCAGTCACCTTTATTCCTTCCTTGTTAAGAATTCTCCCTAAGGTGGTTTCCAAGGTTCCTTCCTTGTATGGAATTACCACTGATGATTTAGTTTCCTTATTGTTGGTGTTGTCATCATCTTGCGTATGTTTGACATGCGTGTCGTCATTAATATTACTATTAATATTATCATTATCACTATCACTACTGTCATTATTTATTTCATTTTTACATTTCCCTACATACTTTCTGACTAATTTATCAAGGTAATTATTAAGTTTCAAAGCTTCTCTTATGTGTATCACTTCCTGTCTTAGATTTTCTTTGGTACTACTTAGTTTTTGTGCTTTATTACTTAAACATTTCACCAATCCTATTTTTACTGTCATAGGATGGGATGATTTGAACCAATAAATAATGATAGTAGTGATAGTGACAACACTTCCATACACATAGACACATCTACGTTATTTGAACAGTTAATTAGTAAACTGTAGGCAAGCGTAATGATTTAATACAAAGTCAGGAAAATACTTACCCATTTTTGGAAGTGGATAAGGCACTCCAAAGTAATTTTCAAAGTATGTAAGAAGTCTTCTACCGATATCCAAAGCATACCTGGCTGATTCAATTTTCTCTGGTCTTGTCCAGACAGTAAACTGATTAAATAATGCAAAAGATAATGAACAGGGCTTTGTATATCAGCCAACTTGAGATGTAGTAAAAAAAACACATACAGAAATTTTTATGAAGAAAATTCTAGAGTTGACAAATTGTGAAAGTAGAGGTCGATGAAATATCCTTCTGTTTTCGGAAATTTCAGACACCTCTCACCTTACTGTAACATTGTCATTTCCGTTCATACGTAGTCATACGTTTACATAACGTGTTTGTTTAATTTTCGTTGACAAGTGAATACTATACAAACACAGAACTACAGTTATTCACCTGTATAACATTGGAATTAAAAGTATGCTCTATATACATGCCCTTACTGGCTACTCGCCATCTTGAAACATCCCCTAGGCATTTGTGTGATGAGATAAGAGACAGAGAAAGTAACGTCATACAGAACCGACTGTATCTTTCAAATCCACAACTGTCCTTACTCCTCCCACCAGGATAAGTAAATGCATACTGATATAAGCAGGAAATACTTTGAAAAAGCCTACTCAGCTTTATACTACTCACATTTCTTCCTTTTGAATCCACTCCACGAAGTCCATAAAATTGTGAAACCACAAATGCCAACAGATATGAAGACATCTTTACACTGGGTTGAAACTGATCTTGACGCCAATCAGCGTAAAGCGCCACCGTGTTGTTAACAGGCATATTTGAAAGTGTATAAAAATCCTTGTGGCGTATGATGGTAACCTGTAGGAGGAACAATTAACACTTGTTTGTAGAAGTTGAAGTAAGTAACCATATGGAAAAAGTGCTTTTGACGTGGGAATATGTAACATACAAATGTTTTGAAATCAAACAAAAACTTACTTCATGAGTTCTTTTAAGATGTAGAAATATCGCGAGAAGACGCACCTTAATGCCTCTAAAGAGTAAAACGTTTTTGCAGCCCATGACTGAGCCTTTCCACCTATGTACATTCATCAAGCATTTAATACATACAAATATAATGACCGATAGATGTTTTTACACTGGAAGATGTTGAATGGCACTAGTGCGTGAATATAATTCTTATCCGATGGATCCTAGTTACCCGAAATAATGAAACACCGAACCACCTGGGATTCTAGATGAAAGTCATGACCAGTAGGGTACAGCACGTCAGGTGTGAGGACAAATAATGGCCGAAGACATTGGCTAGTGGTCCCTGTATGTCATGAAATGGCAGAAGTTGGAATTCATGGGCTGGCCATTGGTTCGGGTCCCACTGGTTGATAAAAATGGTCTACGAAACTGGCTTGTAATCAGAAGGTGGTGGGTTCAGACCCCGGTAGGTGTGTACTGTAAGGAGTCCCAAATTAGGCTGACGAAACAGCTGACTGTACACTACTCTCAGCTAGTTTTCCAATGGTTCTCTAACTAATGTCAGCTCATGATGAAATCCTGTAACCAATCAATCAAATCCCTACAAACCAATACTTGAAACTTCCAACTGTAGATTATTTTGACACCACATTGATCTATCCACGAATCGAATGGACAACTTTGAGTGTGTCCCTATCCATGGATCGCTGCTCACTTTCTGACACCTGTTTCTACTAAAATTCCATAAAAGACTACCGATGTTCTCGCTTTATACTTAGTAACTCATTCGTACAGTGACATATGAAAGAACCAATGATTCGTCGATCAATATACCTTTCTTTGGCTTGCTTAATAACCCCAGTATATTTTCTGACGGCCTGAAGTGAATCAAATTGGTTTCCGTTGTGAAATTATGATCCATTGGCTACACATCCATTCTAGATCCTTATCATATATAACTCATAAATGCCTTCAAATATCCACAGATGAGGCAACATTGCATTTCTCTTTATTCTCAATGAACTACCTCTCAGTTAAACAGAATATTCAGAATGCACAGCGTCGGTGGCAAAGCGGTTAGGACGCTCACTGATCATGCACATGACCCGGGGTCCGATCCCCGGCCGACGCACTCCTTTACCTCGCTAAGCTAGAAGTAATGCTGGTGAAGAGAAAAGGTCGGGCATGAGGCTAGCAACCCCATCCTGTAAAATAAACACCACTGCTACAGACACTTCAAGCCACTAGCTTGAAGCCCTATGTTACACTGGGGAACGTGAAGGAAAAAAAACAGGAGCCGCAATAGTATACCTACCTGAAATACGGCTTTGAAACCAGGTTCATCCCAACAAGGAAACACGCGTCTTGCATAAGTTGCCTCAAATTTTGTGCTTGCTAAGTACCTGAAATAAATACGATGCAGCTGGAGTTAAGTGAAAGTGTATGTGAATGATTCGATGTTAATTATTCTACTTTATTTTGTATAAGAGAGGAGTAATAAAGTTGTGGTGGGAGATGGTTGCTAGCCAAATTGGTTGACAGTAATTGAGGTCAAGGTCAAGATGGACAGGCGGATACAGTTAACATATAGATGAACTGACAAAGCCACAAGAGATGCAAGGTTAACTTTGTGTGAGAAACAACCAATCAATAGACTGTATTTTCTACTAACATTAACCTACAATAATGTACATCAAAATCTATAAAAACGTGTTGATTTTCCGTAATAAACGTTCTGTTGCCTGGCCCTTGTCTTCTGTTGTTACAAAGTGAGCAATTCATGATAATTGCAGAATACCTCTGCATACACGTCGGTATGTTCACATGGAGATGTGAAGGCTTAAGCTCGTATTTTACTTTATAAGTAAATTAGTGTATAACCAGTTAGGAAAGGGGAGAGACGCAGAGAGGGAGAGACATGAACGCATCACGATAAACAAATCGTGATAAAATTGAAGGAAAAAAGATGTTTCGAAAATTTAAGGGAAATCTCAGTAACAATCTCAGTCATGCTCTCTTGAATCAAGATGTGTTCAAAATGCACTCAAACCGCTGCCTAGACCAGTCAACCTTAATGTCGAATAATGGCTCCCAACACTTATGGAATAGCAGCAGAACAAAAAATATATATTAAAAAAAATAAAATAGATAAAAAAAATTATCAAAAAAAAAGAAAAAGCAGAGAGAATTCATTGTTGCTGTACTCAATCTTAACTGTCAGACTTTTTCCTGTTCATTACTGTAGCAATTTGTCACTCTAGTGTGGTTAAATTCTTTTTGCGAGCTTTGACTGTAAATATTCCTCACCATGTTCTTTATTTTTTTCGGCTCGCTATTTGCTTTTACCTAAATGTAAATGTCTACCCTCCCCCAACTCTTTTATTTTCCTTTACCACATGCCCTGTAACCACTTTTATTACCGTGTTGCTGAAAATTGCATTTATTTTAATTCAACCTGGAGTAGCCTTGATATTTTCCCAACGTTTCTGCGCTTCGAGGCCCCAGTTTTTGCGACATATGTTTACACTTTTTCTTAAAAAAAACGATTTTGCGAATTTCTACATCACTTTCCATTTTTCTTTTCTTTCGCTTTGTTCCTCTCCTACGCTGGTATATTTATTGTCCCCAGTGTTTATGGATGCTCGCTGATGAAGTGGAATTGTGAAGCATTGTGTTAAGACGAAACTTAGACCTAATGAGTCACACTCCCATCTCAGCCTGAGCACAGGGGTGATATCATCAACCCCCAACACAATCAGTGTGTGGTTCGTAGCCCCTACTTATACAGAGTTCAAAATATGTAAATATATAAAAAAATCATAAAAAACAATGAAAAAAATGTATAACATATAACAAAATTATTACAAAAAAATTAATAACTTGAAACTCTGTCCAAACACACTAAGATAACCAGCGTCTTTCTTTTCATATTCCGATTTACTTCATGCATCATGTACATATCATCCAACCTTCCCCTCAACCTTTTTTTTCGTTTTGCTCTATTTTTGATAAAAAATTTTTTTCTCCGCTTCTTTTTCTTCCTTTTATTATGCGAATCTCCTACTGCATATCGCTTATGTTCTTGGATCGAAGGTTGTTGGTTTCCCCACCAACCTTCTAAGGTGGGGATAACCTGTAGTGTACATTGAACTTTTCTTTTAACTCACTCAGCCAATTTTTGGAGCTACTCCACTTCGCCACTTCGCTTCGCATGCTGCACTACGCTTCTTGTACATTTTGGCACTTGTACGATTTCTCCCTCGCTGTACTGTCCTACAAGCATACTCCTCGAGCTTCCTAATTCTACGGGTATAGATAAGTGGTAAACCTGTTTTTACATTATTGGGTTATAATTGCATTCGTTATAAATATACGTTTGGTTACAGGCAAGTAACGAGTCCTTTATTTTCTGTCTTTACTCGTTCCTCAGTACTTGCATGATAGGCAGAGTACTGATTAAGATCTAGGCAAAAGAAGTTAGTCTTTTTGTAAGTGCGACAGGCAAAGTCACCTGTGGATAAAACCAGGCACTTACAAACATATAGAATTCAAAATGGGCTTTGAAAAATTACCCTAGGAAACGAAACGAAGATACTGTTCCTTCTCCTAATTTATTGATCTACTGCAAAACTCAGATTGTATTGAGGCAACACGTACTACTTAATTGTGGCATGAATTACCAATCAACTACTGATCACCACTGTGTCTTTGTAAAATGTGTTTGCAGTGACAAGAACAGGATATTTACAGTAAATGCTGTGAATACATACTACCACCAGTATATCTTCAAGTCTGTACAGATTCGATAATCTGATTTTCCTGGAAATCTGTAGGTAGATTTAATTTTACTTACCTGCGGCACGGATATATCATTTCACGAAACTTAGTTAATTTGTAAATTCACAGTATGATTTATTCAGACAGAAAACCGGGACAATGATTGTCATTGCTTTTCTGGTTACTTCAGATACATGAACCAGTCTCTAGTGTGTGCCTTTTTGAATGATTTAGTAAGACAGGAGTCCCATTGATCTATCATGAATATGTCACTCACTGTCAGTCAACAAGAGTAGCGTTTTCATAACAGGAATGAAAGGCGGGCTAGGTATCATCCATTTATCACTTTTCAAGTATCTGATTGGTCGGAAATAGACGAATTTTCATAAACTTCACGTCACTGAAAAGCATTTCAAACAGGTTGCAGACTTTCGTCAACAACTTCTCTATATTGGAGATGAGATGTTCAGAAAGAATTAACAACAAGAAACTCTGGCTGGGAACAAACTAACCAAGAACCTATCGATCAACAAATATTTAGAAGAAAATGGAGATGGATTGATTGGGCACACGTTGAGGAGACCGTCGAATGACATCGCGCTCAATGCAGACCATCACTCGAGTGGAATCCCAATGGGAAGAGACGAGTGTGTAGTTGGTGCAAGGGTGACATGGAGGAGATCGTATGAGTTGAAGGAGGAGGAGATGACAGATTATGGGCAATCGTAGGCCCAGTGAAAGAGGAAGGTAGAAAATAGAAGAAAGTTGAAATGTGTATTTGAAGCCCTATGTTCCACTTGGAACCCAAGGGAACAATAATGATAATTGTAATAAATAATAATAATCACGTCACTGAATCATTTACGAAATTACTAACAACCATATAGTGTATAGATCAGATGGCCAGAAAAGACCAGGAACAGAGACCCCTGGGAGCGAACCAACCAGGAACCGATTGTGAAACAAATATGCAGGAAGAAATGGAGATGGATTGGCTGGCCATACTCTGAGGAAACAAACCATCAAGCGACATCACTAGACAAGCCATTGCTCGAGTGGAACCCGAAAGGGAAGCGGCGAGTTGGTCGTCAGTGCAAAGGTGACTTGGAGGAGGTCATGTGAAGAGGAGATGAAAGCATGTGGGCAGACTTGGAGCCAGGTGAAAACTCTAGCAGAGAACCGAACGCAATGGAGACGCACGGCTGAAGCCCTATGTTCCTCTAGGAATTAAAGGAAACAATAATAATATTAATAATATAGTGCATGGTGATAGATGTTTCAACCTAGTTTACGGACTTTCAGTAGTGCTCACGATTATTTGCTGCTTGATCTAGTGTGAGCAGCATTATCATAAAACCGTTATTTTCATTTCCTCTAGTTCGTTTATTTCAAATACTGCCATTTTGGAGAGAAAATCACCTACTTAAGATCTTATTACACACTGAAGTGTCCACCACATTGATTACTGATTTTTGGTGTAGTTGTGTTCTATGAGGTGAGTACTGTGCAACTGTTTCCTCCTATCCTAGGACTCTTCGGTAGTATACGCCCACTGAGATTCAAAACAAGCACCACCAAGTTACAAGACGACCTCTTAGACAATGCAGCCATTGAGACCAGCTCAGAGAATGCTTCTACACCAAAGTATCAACATGGGCCACAAATCTTCTCCGGTATATCTGGATTACTGCTTGACATGGGAAATACGAGGAGTAAATTTCGAAATTAGTCAGTAACGTTCTTAAAATTAGTTTTCGTTTTGAAGGTTGGCAAATCTGAGAAGACATTGACAGTAATAACACTAAATGATAGTTACAATTCATTAGAATTTTTGAAAAAATTGGACTGATAAATTCCAATGCGATGAAGTGGACGGTGATGTGAGTGAAAAATGATGTTAAAATTTTGGACTCCTTGTTGAAATGAACCACATTTTCGAATTGATGAAAGGATCGATGAAATATGAAATAACTGATGGGCACTCAATAGACTCAAATTAAATTACTCTGTGTTGAAAATCTTCATAGATTTTACTGAACATCACAAAGGTTTCGATTAAAAATTGGATGCTGTTTCAAGCTGACGTTTACAGTAACATGAGCAGAACTGATTGGGAAACGGGTAGGAATGATGTGGCAAACCCAGTGACCACCAAGCAGTTCATGAAGAAGCTAATGCTTGTGTTCGAGGCGGCGACCTGCTTAAATCGCTGGACTACAAGAATTTCCATCCATCGATACGACTAAAGTCTTCTGCATTTCTTATTGTTTTAATCATGCAGTTATATCAGAGGATTGTTACACCAACTCACGGACATATTCAATTGGCTTTCAACAAAACATTGTGCAATTCTTGAGGGAAACGAAAGCACAAATATACAGAATTGTCTCTGTCTTCTTACGCAACAACACTACAGTGCATGATATACTTCGGATTACTACTTTAAGTGTAAATCCTGCACGAATACGAAATATTGTGGAACTAAATACGTTGGAAATTTCTGTACTGTGTTCACATATTGCATGAAATAGAGCTTTATAATGATAATTAAGCCGTAAAGAGTTAAGAAGTTTTAGTCACACCTTCTTTGCTCATATGTGAAAGACAAAGTAGAATCTATCAGTGCACTACTGACACTCTCCCAGTCTGTACACTATGAATCGCGCTTAATATAGGAATAGAATCCGAGTGCTCTAGTAGCGCATAACTTCACATTATTCTATGAATGATGAGGTTTGCTTTGAAATTCATCCAAAGGGGAACATTACTATGAGCTGAATTCAGTTGACAAATTCAACATAGGACTCAAATCAAAGTAATTCTGATGACTATTAAGTGTCTCGAATAAAATTACTTACTTATAAGTTCCATTTTCTGCATACCGACTCAGATAAAATCCTACCGGTTCGTAGTTTAGTGAAGAATTAAATTGACCAAATATCAGTTTATAACTTGCATTGGGTTGTAGTGCATCTTTTAGCTGTATGTGGTACCATTCGGCATCTTTATCGTAGGATATCGTCTGGATTGGAATTTCTGACTTCTTTACATCTTCTTTATTGTCCGAAAATATCTATACAAGAAGGGACAAGATGGGAGGTCGTGAAAATGAGTCACACTGAATTATTCAAAGAAAAAAGACTACTGTAAATGTTCGCCCACATTTGAATTACGTGATGTGAATGTTCGTCATTTAACATTCAGCCTAATTTGAGTTTAACGAGTACAAACTCAACAAAGACTTTTGTTCATTATTAAAGGAATGAAAATCTGAGAATGAATGAAGTAGACTAAAATTGGAATTTCAATTGAGTACATTTCACTAACAATTCTACAGCATAGAATTCTATGTATTCATCTCCGAATATTATTTGTAAAAGTGTTGAATAATTGGGAAATAGTAAACTGCACGAGGTTAATCCATAGGGAAAGGCTAATATTTGTCTTGAAGGTTTGATCAAGCACTAAGCCTTTGATCGAAACCTTGTACCTGTTAGCACACTGGGAAATATTGGAGATTCCAATAAGTGTAACTTTATACTCAATTCAGATGGTTCACTTCTGAACTGTTCCATGACATTGTCGAAAGAATAACATTCAGATCATTTCAGTTTCAAATTCTTCAAATATAACTTAATCAAGGGGAATACAGTGGACGGAAGTTTATGGAAACTCCTGAAAATATATCAGTCCTTAATTCAACCTGCAAAGAGCTGGAACTGTTAAGTTCCTTTCTCTCCCCACTCCACTCGTTTGTCGTAGGATGATAAGTTTAATTTTTCTACAATATAAACACTGTGTAAAGCGGATTATTCCGTCAATGAATTGTTACTGCACTAACAGCTTCTCATAAACAGAAACATGTTAGACGGCCCTCACTTATAATAATAATAGCTTTATTCCAAACAGTATTTGGAGTACAGGTATGGAATTTTCAGCGTGCATTACAATATTGCATCTAATTACCTCATAAATTTTATAAGGATTTGAAAATATAAAGCAACAACAACAAAAAGAAAAAAAGAGAAATAAAAGAAATAAAAAAGAACAGCATTGCACTCACATATTTAAACAATGCACCACAGGATATGAAATATAAAATTAGTGTGTAATAGAATATGTGAGCAAAAATATAATAGTAACAAAGAAAGGAAAACAAAAGCTAATGGGAACTATTTGTTAGAGTGCCGCAGTAAGGTGATCGTGTCATGCCTAACAGTTTTCTCATCACATAACAGCTGTGCCAGATAAGGTATTGTGGAGTTTTTGTACTTCGTAGTCCTGGCATACAGCCTCATATAGTTGCTTCTAGTTCTACCAGATGAAATGCAAGGAGAGAGCTGCGTATAGAGAGGGTGTTCGGGGTCCGACAATATGGAATTCGCTAGTTTGTTACATGATATTATATGTCTATCCACAACGGTGTTAACCAGTTGGTTTAACGAAATCCCACTTGCCCTACTAACAGCTTTTAGTGCCCTACGCAGCGAAGCAAAGTCTTTCTTAAGTAGTCCAGGGAAGATTAATGGGGAGCTGTAAAGAGGGATTGGTAGGGTTGACAAACTGAGAAAGTAAAGACTGCTTTATACCAGACTGCCTTAACTTCTTAACGTAGAACGTTAAGCGAAACATCTTTCTAGTAACTAGCAAAATGTGAGAGGACCAGGAAAGATCGGAGGAAATACTCAGTTCAAGGTACTTGACATTAGATGTAGTTTCAACCTCTATGCCGTCAATGATAGTGGGGCCATGTGAGCTAGCTAGTTGTTGTAGGTCACGTTTTCGTCTGAAAGTGAAATTCACTACCTGACATTTAGACGGATTCAGCTTAAGACCGTTTGAAGAGGACCACTGACTAATTTCCGAGAGAAAGTTATTTAATTTGGAACAGTCTGACTGAGAGTTGACAGGTATGGAGACAGAAAGGTCATCAGCATACTTGACAAAAGTGGCTACATCAGAATGGGGCAAGTCATGTAAGAAAAAAGAGAACAGAAAAGGAGAAAGAAAAGCACCTTGAGGAACACCAGCTAAAGTAAGTAAGTAGTAACATCAGTTTACAGTTTGATCTCAGAATGTGTGTAATTCCAACAATTTAAATGATCTCATGGCAATCTAACGAAACAAAATAATCCATAATTAATTAAATGGTTAGAAGAAGCTTCCAGGAATAAGTCATCAGGCTGCAGTGTATGGGACCTCCAAAACGCATTAACTATGAATACTTGGATGACTAGAATTAATAAGTAACGTGTTATTGTCAACTGGCAACTATTTAGTCCAACATGGACCACAACGTCATACATAATGAATTTTACTGTCACAGCTTAATTGAGAATCACAAACAATGAAAAAAAGTATGATAGTACTTCTACAGTAAGACTAACAGTGAATGACGAATCATCTTACAGTTCTTCAAATCATAAAAAAAACTTAAGCAGATATTGAATCACTCACTCTGATTTGATCCATACTGACATTAAGATTCGGATAAGCATGAACAAAGAGATCTGCAGTTGCTGCTAAACACTGAATCTTTATAGTCACAGATCCATTAATATAGAAGTCTTGAGTATCAGAATTTCCATGAATGTGAACTTGAAGGCGTAGATCATAGAAATGTGGAAATACAGTCTGAGGTAACCGTATATTCTTTGATGATTTGTTAACTGCTTCGTTTGTCGTGACCTCAGTGATATTATTCGGTGAGGTTTCTGTCCCCTTCAAAAATAAATCTGCATCATATCTGTGTTCAATCTCTGAAAAATATGACAACAGTTCAATTTGAGTAAATATTTCGATTGTGTTAGAAATCAGTCACAGTATTAGTCTCCTTTTGAGTAATTCCCAAGTAAGGTAAGTTTCCGAGAGAAAATCTCAAATAAATCTGAATACACGGAGTAGTCTAATCTGTGTGAGGAAATTATCTATGAAAATAAGGAGTAAACTAGCCTAAAATTCCAAATAACACATTCGAAGGATTTGGGTTGAATAGAGTAGAAACGCTGTAGATGTACGCATATGCTGCTGTTTACTGGACGTCAAAATGAAAACGTGAAGATGAGTATATGATAAATCGATAAAATACTTCTTTCTTCGTTGATTGGACAGTAGAAACCAGTGTGGTGTGTGTAGTCCTTTGAATCGTGCAGTCCTACAGGAAGGAGGTCAATCGCGAGCCCGAATAGCTCAGTAGTAACGTCTCTAACTGCAGATGGCACTGGGTGACGTGGGTTCAAATCTCAGAAGGGACATGAGTCCCTTCAAGGAAGTTGCAGATACATCTTGCTGCCTGTTGAGTGCCAACCAGCACGAAACCTAAGTCAAAGGCTTCCTGTGGCCGACTGCCTCCAACCATCTAACTTCTTTCATCTATTTGTTTCTTTATGAAGACACTTTTATTCATACCTTGGAAGATCACTTATAACCAATAACTGATGAATACGGATAGGAAATATCTGCTGGTCATGAATATGAAGGCTTGACATGAAAATCTTAACATCAACCTGTAAGATTATCTTTAAAAGAAATGTACGGATTGACCTGGTTTGTCTTAGGTGAAGGAAGTAAGCACAGATAGATTACTTGATAAAAGTTGCTGTGGGGCAACTATATTAGATCCTGGGACTAATTCATAAAAGATTTTGACATGACCATCTCCTTTCATTAGCAAAGCCTCATTTAATGGCTGGCAACTTGTAATCCAATCTAACCTCACTAGGAATCTCCTGACTGAAAGGGGGCGGAGGGCAGTTTATTAATGCAGCTAACCAGTTCATCGTCAAATGGAAAAAAATAAGAAAGACATCCATCTGTGCTGTTAGTGAGCAGGAAAGAGTTCAGTGTCATTAAATAACAAATTAAACACAGAAATACTCAAAAGAATCGATTTTTTCCAATTAGACATTACATACATTAATGAATAATGAATGCTAAATCATATCATCATATATGCAAAAATCAATTACTCTCGACTAACCCATTGGTGTATTATAGCCATAATAACGAAGGCTGTGAATACCAGTCGATGTCACTTGATTGTTACAGAGAAACACGAAAACAACGTAGATTGTCGTTAACAAAACTTTCAGAGACATTCTTCGAAAATCTGAAAATATCGATCCTTCAGAAAAGCTACTCAAATGATTATTAGCTGGCAATGAAAACAACTCAAACTGTCAGGCTTTTATAGGCTTCTCAAATAAGGAAGTAGCATTATTGCGTAATAGTTCATCTCGTGTTTAAGGATGATGATCAATAGTTCAAATAAACGAACTGCATTCAAAGATATTTTCGCCTTGTATCATTTAGGTCATTAGTGCATGAATAAATTGGAGCACATTGTAACTGTGCGTGTCATTATAAACACAATTTAATCAATCATATGTCACAATATATAGATTAAAATATTTATAATTAATATATATGACAGTCACGACTCGTGAACAACTTTCACAACCCTTTTATAATTACAATTGATTCAAATTGTTTGTCTGTTTATATTCACGTATAAGTTAAGAGACATAATTACACTTCGATGTAGTTGTGTCCACATAGAGAACACAAACCGCCTCCTCCATTATACATAATTACAAATGAAAACAAAGTTTCAGGTGTGGTTTTCATGGCTAGAAATGTATCTTTGAGATGATCTTTGTGTCTTACTGTTATGATTTGTTGACTTTATTTTCTTGTATGCTGTCAAGCCTATTTTAACACAGGAAGCCAGAGTTCGATGTTTACAAAAGAAGCTTGTCTAGTCATCTCATTCAATCCATCTACCATGGACTTAGTTTCTTTGAGTTTTCTTTCAGATTTGTTCCCCTACAACATTTCTTTATCGAACACTCTGTCGGTGGAACATATAACCCAACCATGTTTCTAATTTTATGTTTTTTTGGTTTCTATACCCGCTGTGATTAAGTATCATCTCTCAGTAAAACTGCAGATATTCAAGTCAGATTTAGTTCAGAATTGTCACTATGTCCAATCAAGTGATAACTACAAGTATGCTGACTTCTAGGCCTACTGAAACCAATGGGCCACCTGAATTTCTATTTAGTGAAACTGCATTCACTTCTATCCTCGTCTTGTCCTTTTAATCTTCGAATTTTGTATTTGAATCACAACATGAACTCGTGAAAATGTTTAGTTGACTTTCAAACTACTTTGTGTGTATTTTGAGAATAAAATGAAGGAAAAGATTCGTTGAGGACTGAGTGGTGTTTCAGATTAAATGACATCGAGTCGTGCAGTATACTGTTGATGAATAGGATTCTACATTGGGCGTAAATATTTTGGAAGAGATTAATCTGAGAGTTCTGTATTATGGGCAAACATGATTTCAAGAGTAAATCTGGTGTTATTGTGGCGCCATATGCTAATGACATCAGTCAGTAATACTTCCTGGCCAGATCTAGTTGATTCAAACACCGGAAGACCGTTTCACTCGTTTGAGACTAAGCTCACCAGCGGTGTACCCTGTTTGACTCAGATGAGGGTGCTGAATTTGTTCAAGCCAACCAATTTCTTGCTAACTGATTCGGCAGACTGATAATTTGATGGATCAGATTAGTCACTTGCAATTTCCTTTTGATTGGCTGATCCGATCCGGTAGGCTATTTGACCTCCGTCTGACATAGAGCCAGAGAAGATAGCTGTTGGTTAAAGTTTAAAGCAGCTAGTTGCCAACACTTTTTCGGTCATGTGAAGTCTCTGAAACATATAGATGAAATCACTTAACATTAGCCTTGAAAATCCGAATTTATGCTGACAGCAACAGATTTCCAAACTGACTTCAGAAGCTGGCCGGCTCTGACACCCTCATTAGATACGTATATTTTAATGAACACATAGTGATGCAGTATTAACAACTGGATGATGTCTCGGGCATAAATTATTGCTCATAATCATATCAGTTAAATAACATGTTTTCAAATTTTGTCTTACATGTATTTCCTCTCTTTCTCTCACTTTCTCTCTCTCCGACACCCTCATTCACGCCGCCTGTATTTCAATCGATGCTGTCCAGATAAGTGAAGTGACTAACCTCCCACAAATCCCTCCCGTCGATAGTGACTGATGCTTGTTATCGTTCTTTGGTTATCTTCATCAGACCTGTCTTCTCTATATTCGTTCGAAGTCTTGTCTTTGACGCCAGCCCCTCCTGACAACTTTTTGGTTTCCGCCTGTAGATCTTCAAGTTTATGTGACATCAGACATAAATCTCGTCCGTTCACATCCTATAGATTCTTCTTAACGGTCCAATGTATTTCTGTCTTCTTGCTCCCCATGCACGGTGTGTGCCACATTACCCAGTCCACCTCAGTCAGGAATATAATCAGCCATAGCATACAACCTTATCTTACTTACTCTTATCTCCAATTCAAAGGCTTCGCTGTGTTTTCCCTTGTAGATCACCTGACGTTTGGCACTGTCATATAGCCGTTAAATCAAGGGAAAGGAGAAATCCACATTACTGAATCAGTTTCCAAATCGGTGGCTGCATGGCCAACGCTGTATGCCAGACTTCTTGGACCAAATAATATTTAGCTATTTATTGATGATAGTGTAGTGACCCATTTTATTACTCATAATCGTACTATACTTTCATTGTGTAATTGTACTTTGATTTGTTTATCACCCTAAAGATTGCATGTTAACAATTGATACCTTTGTACTCGCTCGATTTTTGAGTTTTGATTGGTGCAATAATACACTATCGTATTCCTTCACAAGTGCCTTTTGAATTACGTTGTGGATGTCGAGTAATCGCAACGTTAGGTCACAATTATAAACGCGAAGAAGTACTAAGATATACGTGTACTCTAGTTTAGTCAAAATATAGCAGCGCAACAATAGTTCCAAATTAAACAAGAAAATCAGATTTTAATGAAATTTCATGCATGTCGTCAGAGGAAAATCACACAGTTTATGTTATATGTAGATAGATGTGACACCTCACTTCTTCTCACAAAAAACAACTCTCTTATTTGTGAAGTCATGTTTCACATGACGATAAGTGGTACTTGAGTGGGAAGCTTAGAAAACAATACAGCTTGATAGAAAATATTAGTGTAGAAAGTAGATGTCTATTCCTAAATCAACAAAGAATCACCTAAATTCTTTCGGAAAATATTTGATATCATCTTCAACAAACTGATGCTTAATTCCCACTTAAATTTCACCTGAATTTTGTGTACTCTTTGGATTTTATTCTCTACTAACCACAGTAGCGAAAGAAGACAACACCAATAACGTTTATAAAATAAATTTTATTAGCTAGGGACAGTTTTGACTGGATACTGGTCAGTAACTAGTGTGATGTGTCTAGTCCTATCTTTGGTGCAGAAGGGTCGTGAGTACCTTCAAAGTGACTGCAGATACGCCAACTAGCACGAAACCTAGGTCCAAAGCTTCTTGCAGACTGCCTTCAACCATCTAATACCAACCATGAACATTATCTGGATGACCTCAGAATGTGTGGAAAGGATACATTCAAGAGACGAGACAATTCATTTCACCAACTGAGTAATTATGAGCAAAACCTCCTTCAGAAAATTATCCAAAAAATATTTGGCAAATTTCTACAAGGTAGCAGTCAGCAGGCATTACTGAAATAGACATGACTTACCGACCAATGAAAATGTAGTTACATAGTCTCAGAGTTGAATATCAGACCAGGAAAATGTCCAGTGGAAATACAAGATGGTAAAGAATGCAAACAAAGAAAGCCCATCACTGCATATTGAAGTCGAAGTATTTCAGAGTGTTAATTCTCGTTGAGCTTTGGTGCTTCAAAATTAGACCAACCAACCAACAAACCAGCCGATGCAGATAACACAATGGCATCAGAAGTATCCAACTTAACTTCATTATTCCATAAAATCGATTGAAGTGTTACCACAGTATTCTAGGTCGCCTCTTCCACTCAGTATTCGGGCTGTTTTAAAAGAAATAACGAAGCTTCTGAAACGACTTTTCAAGACATTGATAACGGTATTCGAAAAAATTGGACGATGCAATATGAAACGATTTCGAAAAGCCCCCACGTATGATGACAGGATGACAGCATACTGGAAGATCATAAATGATCGGTAAATTGAAAACTCACAGCAAGTTTTAAATATTCCAAATGTGGATTACATGGTGAAGACAGAATTTTCTAAACTTCCCTCTCAAATAGCCTTTCTGTTACATCTATAAAAGTAATTGAAAATTAAATATTTATTTCTATATACGTTTCATCCTGCATGTTTATTTATAAGAACTCAGTGTGAACTAAGGGTAATGTTCAAATTCAAATATTTTACATTTTTCATTTCGACACTTTAGTATATTTAAGAAAAATTGTCAGTGAAAAGAAAGTGACGTCGTAATAGTCACGGTTTCTCTTCATCTTGACCTTCTTTCAAATTCATCCAATCAACCTCTGTAATAGCCTCATTTAGCTGGTTACATACATACATGAGCTTGGCAGCTGTGTAGTTCTCGTTTGAAAAACAAGCATAAAATCGAGGTGAAAATACAGCTTATACGGAAGTTCTATTAAACACGATGTGGTCTTCTTGGCTTAATTATTTTGTTCATTTGAGGAAGGCAGTGAAAGATTTCACAATGTGTCCATAAAGTGATGAAATGTGCAGAGGCGGATTTTATCTTCGTACTGTCACGTTCATTTTGATTTCAATCCTCCATCAGACTGGAAACAAGTTAATCTGATGCTCTCTAGTGACTGGCTAGTGATAGGACAACGTTCCCTGGAGTTCTCATCAGAAGTATTGACTAGTGGGGTAAGTCTGATGTAATGAAATATATACATTGGCTGGCTTTCGTGCTAAAACTGCGAATTGACAGAAGCTAGAATTGATGGGCCTGTAGTGTACCTTGAACGTTTGAATTTTTGTTTTAACGCATTCACGTACTTTCTGTGGCGCCACACCATCTTGTGATTTCCGACACGCGACTGTAGACACATGTTTCGCTCCCTTGTTGTGCTACCATTCAGCGCAATATTTGAGCTTACTACCCAGCCGAGGCACCAGATAAGTCGTACAACATTCTTATTTATTTAAATTGATATTTCATCTGTGTAAAA